AAAACTCCCCGTGCCTCACCTCGAACATCCCAAACTCCGTGACGAACCCTCGCTCCGCATCTCCTTTTTAGAAGAACAGACCGTCCAAAGCGCAAGCACGGTCTTTACTACCCAGCTCTCATATACCTTTGAGGACTGGCGCGGTTAGTTTACTCTCTTTCTGTCTCTGCTCCGGAGTTATACTGATGGCATATACAGACTGCGTCCAGTTCCAGGAACTCATCCTCGCCGCGAAACTCGTTTTTATTGCCGGCATCGCCGAAGCAAAATCCAAGGGCCGCGGCGAGGAATGCATCAGCCAGAATCTACGCGTCTTCCGCGGGCACAACGGGAAACAGGTCATGCTGTTTTTTGCCAACTCGCAGCGCAAGGAGCTGAAGCGATACGTTTCGATTCCTGGTATGCTCCTACACTCGTATCTACACGATCATACTGACAGCGAGTAGTAAATTGCATCGAGACGGTCAATCCCGGCAAGAAAGCCGGTCGGCCCGTGGTGCTCGAGCTACAGCCGAACTTTGAGATTCTGGCACAGATGAAATCACTGAACATCCAGTTCCTGGACGATCAGGGTATGTCATTTCTCCGCCGTCATTGGAGACCAAGCTCACTAGTTGCAGATCGAAAAGCATTTTGCGCGTTTCTGACCAATCAGATGTTATGATTGTACCATATGCATGCTCCAGAGAGCAATGTCTGGTCCCTGGGACCATACTACGTCCCCACGAGCTCGCAGCACACAGCACAGGCACAGCACAGGCACAAGGAGAGGATTACCAAGAACAGGTAATCGCTACGGTCGGTGCATGCTACGGCGATTGGATATTGGGATCACATGGATCTCATTTTACTTAATTTCATGATATTTGCACCAGCACGGAGTTTAGGTCTTAGGATGTTTGGAATAAATACCCTGTTGTGCGTTTTCTTTGGATAGAGTTTGCAATATTATGGTTATGGACTGTGACTGGGTGCATTTTTCCGTTGGGACGGCCTCGAACGGAATATCTAGTCCAAGGTTCTTGGGATTACGGAGAAGAGTTTTCTGATTTTCCGATTTCCGCGTAATAAGCGCAGTATGCGTAATCCATTTCTTATTAATATGGATTCCCAACGCTCAGTAATCCTAATGGCATGTTTTATTTTGTCAGGATAGATACGAAGGACCGAGTTCCAGATGACCATCACTAACGGCATGCTCTAGTTTAATAAGGTAAACACGAAGGACCTAGTTCCAGATGCCATCACCGGCCGAATCCTTCGCGCGTTTCGATTAGATCCCACACGTGGAGTAGAAGAGGGAGCATGGAGTGCATAATCGCTCCACTCTCTCTACAGAGTAATGTAAGGTATTGTTATGTCATTGCCATTGTTCTAGACTCGCCACAACGCCACGGACATGTGCAAATGCAATCGAGTAAGCAGCCGTAAAGGTCCGGTTCCTTACCTCAGGAGGCCATGGACTCGTGTACTCGTACTGACAACGGATAATAGATGTCAGTCGGTTGTTTTCACCCCTCTGAGTTTGCTCGGCGTCGTGAACGAAAATGAAAAAGTGCCTCGTCTAAGTGACTTCCTTCCTCCGTGACAGCGGTGATAAGTGGGTCGCCACGGGCCAGTGGTCGCACACCATCACCGCACGTGCGGACTTTGGTTTTCTTAGACCCGGGAGCTTAGTGATATCGCCCAGGAGGCGAGGCCAATAACGGCCGCATATGCTAACATGATATTACTGTGTCTTGGTCGTCTGGCGTGACTGCACCAAAGATGTTCCTCGAGTCAGTGGCGGGTCGGTGGGATGACTGGTTAGGCCAGGCTAGCGTAGCTAGAGCATGCATATTGCTTTCCTTTTCTTTGCTTTTCAACGAGGCTAGAGACGAGTGAACCCCTCAGGTGGTCAGTGCTAGTAGCCTCGTGGGCCAACTTTGCTGGCTGGTTTCTCTTATCAAGCCCTGCATCGCTAGATCTGCGTGTAAAGCTCCATTTTGATTGTGATGATGTCCGATTGATCTAATCGATCATTTTCAATCACCATGGGCAAGATCAAGCGGTTGTACAAGACCGATCGCGCTCAGGATTTTGACCATGAGCAGGTAAGTCTCTGGTACCTGGTCTGTAAGTTTGTGTGTTCGCATGCTGATCGCGGATTGTTGATTGTCAGGACCGCCATGTCCGCATGCGACAAATCTACGAGACGATCGATAGACAAGGGTTTCAATGGATTGTCGTCTTCGTGGCCGGTGTCGGCTTCTTCCTCGATGGATATACAGTGAGTCCCACCGGATAATTGGATCAGGACTCAGCTAAGTGGCAGCTCTTCGCGAGTAACATGGCCCTCCCCATGGTCAGCTACGTCTACTGGCCCGATACGACCTCCTCCAAGAAAATCACCCTCATCAACATCGCGACTCTGGCCGGCACGCTCTTCGGACAGGTCGTCTTCGGCTATCTGGCGGACCGCAACGGGCGGAAGAAGATGTACGGGGTGGAACTGATGCTGCTGATCACGTCGACGCTGGGCGTTGTCATGTCCTCGACGGGAGAGAATGGGAGCATGGATGTGTTTGCCTGGTTGGTTTGGTGGAGACTGGTAGTCGGAATCGGAGTCGGGGCGGATTATCCCCTCAGTGCCGTCATCACCTCGGAGTAGGTATTTCATCTGCTTGGAAATGGATAAAGCTAACAGTGTCGGGTAGATTCGCGCCGGCCAAGCATCGCGGCCGGATGATGGCAAGCGTCTTCTTCATGCAACCGCTCGGGCAGATCGCAGGAAACATCGTCACCCTGATTGTGGTAGCCATCAGCAAGAACCAGCACCACGACGACCTCACTCGCACTTTTGATATCATGTGGCGGTGGGTAGTCGGAATCGGCGTTGTGCCTGGTGTGATCGCGACGCTCTTCCGTGTTGTCATCCCCGAAACGCCGCGCTTCCTGCTCGAGATCGAAGACGACCCCGTCAAGGCCGAGTTCGACGCCACCACCCTCTTCAACGAGCCCCCGTCTCTGGACCCCGAGGATAGCTGGAGGGACCTCCCCATGCCGGCCATGTCCGTCACGAGCCAGTGCTTCAGCGAAGGCCGCTCGCCCTCGCAGACCGAGATCCTCCAGCCCGCCACGCTCAACTCGCACTGGCATCTGACCCGCAAGGACATCACCCAGTACTTCTGGACGGAAGGCAACTGGCGGACTCTCGTCGGCACCTCTCTGTCCTGGCTCCTGCTCGACTTTGGCTTCTACGGCATCGGACTCTCGAGCCCGCAGTTTCTGGCCAAAACGTGGGGATCCCTGAACATCCACGGCCGGGCGCCCGTGTGGAAAACCAACGACGACCCCAACGCCAACATCTTCGAAATGTTCATGAACAGCTCGGTCCACGCGCTCGTCATCCTCAACATCGGCAGCTTCGTCGGCGGTCTTCTCATGATCCTCTTCAGCCACAAGGTCGACCGCACCGCCCTGCAGAAGTACGGCTTCCTCGCCCTCGCCGCGCTCTTTATCGCCCTGGGCACAATGTTCATCACCGTCCACCAAGAAGGGCCCGTGGCGGTTATTCTATATATCCTCGGACAGCTCTTGTTCAACTTCGGTAAGCCCTCCCCTTTAACTTCCAGATGGCTCAGAACTAACAGTGAGGCCCCAGGCCCCAACGCAACAACCTACATCATCCCCGCCGAGGTCTTCCCCACACGCTACCGCGCCACCTGCCACGGCATCAGCGCCGGCGCCGGCAAGCTCGGCTCCATCCTCGTACAGGTCTTCTCCTCCTACTACAACTTCGGCACCGGGCCCGGCATAGAGCCCACCATCCGCCACGGCTGGATCCTGATCGTCTTCAGCGCGTGCATGATCCTCGGCGCCGCCGTCACGCATTTCTGGATCCCGCCCGTCCAGCGCAACGCCGCCGGCAAGGGCCAGTTCTGGGGCGGGAAGCCCCAGTCGCTCGAGACGCTGGCGCTCGGCCGACTCGGGTGGAGGAGTCGGTATGCGGTTAAGCAGGGACGGCCGACGCAGGTGTCGCCGTTTTCGTACGAGCTTCATTGATTCGTTCGTGTAGACATATACCTTCTCTTGTATATATTTCTTTGCATTACCAAAATATTCGGATAGATAGATAATAAACAGCACATACATCAATCCGTGGTATCTCGAATGGACGACGTAGGAACGATTCCCAGGTGGAGAATATCACTTATAGCTTATCAGCCTCATGCAAGCTTAAACTCTGTGATTTAAAATTAAGGTTGACGATGAATGAGTGATCGTCAAGGCGTAAAAATATAAATAAAATAAAAAATAAAGAGACGAGCAGCTGGAAGCAAGACCCCATCTTACATCAAAGAGTGAGGGCTAAAAAAAGAAGAGGGTCCGAACAAAGCGGAGAAAAAGAAGATTGCATCATCCGTGAATCGAACACGGGCCTCGTCGATGGCAACGACGAATTCTACCACTAGACCAATGATGCTAGTTATTAGCAAATTTATCTTTTCTAATAATATCTAGTAAAAGCGGTAGAGTGTATTATTGGTGACAACGCCAGACAAGCCGACTCGGAGGTTGTCGAGCGTAAATTATATTCCGCTATAGACGTTGCTCGACAAAACGGTGCCATTGTGTGTCTCATACTCGCTGATCTGCCAAGGATGCATAGTTGTGCATAGTTATTGCTGTTAGCGCTAATTACTGCTGCAACAACTGGTCTTCGCTGCCTTGCTCTAGCCCTATACAGCATCAAACTCAAATAACCCAAAGCTCACCACGAGCACGTTTCGAGGGTTTGTCTACTTGTGTGAATAAAAAATAGGTCATATATTCATAGGACATCTAAGTCAGCCCAAGTGCCTATACTCACTGTCACTTCTAGTGATGTGACTTTACAAAACGACCTTGCAATTGCAGTGCATGAAAAATCACAATACAATTAGAATCACCTAGAGGTACACTATGGCAAAATCAGAAGATACATCAGATTCCCCGCGTACGCAAGCCAACGCCCTGTGTTACTTCCTAGCATTAGATGGAGGATCCACCTTGAAAGTATTATTATTCAGCTGCGTGACCAGGCAAAAATTATAGCCCGTGCCTGTGAAATCAACAGTAGCATCCATAGACGTCGCGGCGGTGATAGTCCCAACATCCAACGATGCATCGCTAGAGATGTAAAACACCGGCGGCTGCGGGGGGTTAGGGATGGGATACTTCGAGTTGGGCTCGATCTCCCAGACACAGCTGGGGATAATCTCTTCCGAGCCCTGGCTGACGACCCCCAGGCCGCAAAACACATTTGCTAAAGACCTGGTCAGTACAGCCTTCAAACTATGTTAGAATGAAATGCTCACCATTGGGATCCGTCTTATAGTCTCCTGTCGATATTATTGCCCAATTACCTGACGAGATATCTTGTTCGGGCGGGGGAAAGTAAGGATTGTTGTCCTGGAGGCTTACGTGTACCAGCTCCGGGGGGGTTATAACTGTAGACTCTTGGATGCTGACGTTCACTCCGGAACCCAGCGGCTGATTGGGGCTGGTGCCGCAGACGACGGCAGTCGGCAATTTGATGGTAAATGTGGCGGTTTTTGTGTTTGCAATCGTCGTTGATTTCTGAGTGACGCATGCAAGAGGTGCATGTGCAGCAGCCGAGAAGGGCTTGTAGAAGAGGAAGTAGACTTGATTGTTGTTACTTTCATTGTTGACTTGAATAGTAAAGGACGACATCTTGGTTATCGAGGTGCTTGAGCCCAGTACAGGAACACTGGAACACTTAGGTGCGCATAGAGACTGCTGGATTTACCGTTTAAATATGTTCTCCACCTGGCGCCTTATGGGGGCGTGTGGAGTACGCGCGACTCCGGGGCCTGGATACTATCGTGAGGGAATTGTCACTGCTCCAACGACATGCGTGTCACGCGGTAGTAGACGTGATGTTGAGACTGGGTCTAGACTATGGAGCTTGTAGATCCCCATTTGGCGATTGACATGGCAGACCTTGGGAGAGACTGATCAGGAGCAGCAGTACTATCCAAGAACTCATTATCCGCCTTCCTTTCTCCTTGCAAGCGGAATAGCGTCCCTTGAAGCCCAGAGCACGGTGATCTGGGGCCATGGGCCTAGATTTCGACAATAAGGCGAACATACATTTCTTGACGGGAAAGCAGGATTCAAAGCAGAAGGGAATTTTTTGTCTCCCTTGCGCCCTAATAAAAGAAAGTTCGAGGCGCACCATACTGTGCAGCTTGAATCAACAAGGCAAAGCTGAATTACACTTTCTTCCGCATGCAGCATAACAAGAGGGAATATAGAGTGTCTTGCTTCCTAGTGACCAGCTCACAGGGACTAGCTCGGCCTGCATTGTCTTCTTTGAGAGGCAGGGCGCACACAGTTGTAGTTACATTGCAAGGCTTTCACTTTGCCTCAAAGTGGCAACCTGGACTGCTCCCAGATATCAAATCATGACGTTTCTGCGGCCAACGACTGGAACCATGTTCATAATGCGAACCATGAGAAACGTGAGTTCCATGGGTGACCAAAAGTCAGATCAGCATATGCACTCGTGTTGCTGGCCGCTTGACCAGGGGTGTGAGTGTCAGTGCTGGATCCGATGAGCCAGATACTGATGCGGTAAACAGCAGACCGTTTTTACCTTGGTAGGGCTGTTCGATTGATTGATTCGAATTGAATACCAAACCATGGAATCCTGTGGCAATTCTCCATGAGCAGATGATGATCTGTTTTCGTTCTGTGATCCTTCGAGTGGAACCTCATGTGCGCCTCGGTGGCTGAAGAGTGCAAGCATCATGCTTCTAGTGGTGGGGAGACGATGGCGTGGAGCGTCATCGTAGCTGTTGATGCATTCGACGCTGAGGTCGTCAAGTATAAAGTCAGCTCGAATGTCGAGCCCGGACTTCCAGAATGCCCCGTACCATAAACCCCATAACAGAATATCTTGAATCTACTCTACCAAAATGTCCGACACCGAGACCTACACTATCCAGGTGTACAACAACAGTGACGAGCCACAGAACTATCTTCTCTTCCAGACTGTGCCCGTTTTATCTGGCTCGGCAGAAGTCTTTGCCAATGTCTACCAGTCATCTGGAGTTATTGAGAGTGGTCCTTACTCCCAGGTCACCTTCCAGATGACCAATGAGTACTATGCTGTGTACGGAACGAACCCTACTCCGCTCGGTGACAAGGTCAGAGTCACTACGGGTTCCGCAGCGCCAGTCACCCTTTCTAGTGGTCAAACGCCCCCGGAGACGCCCGGCACCCAGTGTGTGATGAGCACAACGAGCGGCAAGTATCCCAATTGGGCGAGTGTCACGCCGACTCAGCAGCAAGAGCCCAATGCCTTTGGCATATACTGCGATGGAACGTTTGAGTATCCCACGGAGAGTAAGTCCTCCTGCTCGTTTCTGTGGGACTTGGCTGTCCAGCTAATCTACAAAATACAGCCAATATCTTCATTGGTATGGGCGCTCCGGATCCTGTCAGCCAGGATATCATCCCAGTGACAACCGTGCCCGCAAGTCCCAACACCTACTTCTACTTCCAGCCAATCGTCAAGTACTACATTGGCACTGGTGAATATGAGGCCGGAACCGTGGTCAACATCACGGAGATTGGACAAGTTTGCCCTGTGGATTTCACCCAGCTCCCCGAACCCACGGCTATCTACACCCAGGGCCGGGACAATGAATACTACCCGGGTGCCCCCTCTGAAGATGCTGTCAAAGGCCACAAGAAGAAGTAAATGATCGATTTGAAAGGCATAACCGTTCAACCGGGTATAAAGCATTGAGGCTCAACGGATATTCAACATATCCAAGGCAAAATTGCAAAGGCGGTTATGGAAATTGCTCGCGATGGCTTTGATTGATTGCGTATAATGTAACATTCGTCAACTAGTTTCAATAATATGGTCATGGTCATGGTCTTTCTTAAAGCAAGGAGTGATTCAGTACGCGACACTTTGAGAATATCCGAATGCTCATGCAAGTGGAATGACCAGAAGCGAATAATCAAAGCACAGCGTCACCCTCTACAATTATTTTAGGACATAAACGCCATGGACAATCAGCTACTAGGAAGTCAAAAATATCACTTCGCATAAGCCAGGCCCAGCCCCGCCGGGGCCAGTATAGCAAAGAAGCGAGCCGGGTCGCTGCACCGCGTGGGTTGGCCCTGTGCCTTGGGGCGGGATGCTTCTATCAACCATGAAGTACAGACCGCGTGCCCCGACCTCGATTTGAGCCCCGTCTTGCTAAAGCTTGTCTTAAACTGCGGTCAGTGCGGTAGAGTTAATGCTTGCAGGGACAAGGAGAACCGTGGAAACGAGGTTTGCGGTGGGGACGATGGCTTTACGCTGGATAGGGCGTAGGGCTTAACGCGGCCATCAACTGGGACAAACAGCAACATCAAACAGTTAGAAGCAGAAATATGGCACTTGTGTCTCAATGCCTCATATTTGAATGCACTAAGAAAATACATGATGCTTATATGCGACGAGCCTAGAGGCATATGACTAGTCAGTTATGGGTCAGGCCATGGCGACAAGTATTAGATAATGTATTTGCTCAGTTTGGGTGCACCAATGCTCCCTAGACCAGTTGAATGGTGTCCTGTGATTATATTTTTGATAGCTGGATGTCCTCTAACATTAGGACAATCATTATTAAATATTTAATCGCGTTGCGTTAATTTATTGCATAAAATGTTCTTAACAATAGCTAGATCGCAAATATATATTGCTCTTCGCGGCGAGAACAGAGATATTAAACAGACCTTAGATTGAAACACAGGAATTGGACTAGAAGGTCAGATACTATGCATTTATAGCAATTCCACAGTCTAAAAACCTTTGCTCCTGGCATATAAGAGCTGAAAACAATTCGTAGGAGCAAACCCAATTCCCAGGTTGAGGTTCCTTAGAATAAAATATAGGCTTATAATTTTTCACATATTGCCCTATAACATCTACCAGCTCGCATAGCTCAGTTGGTAGAGCGCATGACTAGTAATCATGAGGTCAGCGGTTCAAATCCGCTTGTGAGCATTTCTTTTTGCCTTTTTCCGGAGTAGTCTCCTTTTTTGCTGGTTCTCGTCTCTCGCGCGGCCCGCATCGATCCACTTCAAAGCAGGCGGAAGTGGAAGAGCGGTTCTCGTTCAAGATCGTCCGACGTGTCTTCTGGCTAGTCGACATGCAGCACAACCGTCAGGACTACTCCGTACGCTGCAAAATGCATACAGGTGCCTCCATGATGCCCCTCACAAAACCCCGCACGTACTCGATCATCATCATCATATGAGCGCGGATTCTCAACACATCTAGCTAGCTAGCTGTCACTAGGGCTGCAATTGCTGTCCATACATGTCAAATGCATACAGTATGACCAATTGGACGAGCACTTCGATTGATTTGCGGGACCAAATTCCGCACATGCATGTATCTCATGCAATGATCCCCACTGTATAGCACACCAGAACCAGGCTCCCCTGCCCAATTGAAAGGACTAAGGACAGCTGGGATACAAATACGTGTCATCAGCCATTTCATCTTAGTTTAAGAGGTACTGCTGTCGACATTGTCCAGACGAGCGCTGCAGTCTAGGGCGCGCGTGTTTTTCCCATTTTGGGGCCTGACGTTACCCCGCAATTTCTGATTACTCACTGTCAATCTTTAGGTTCTTAAGAGCAATTGCTCGAGTTAATATTCATATCTCTTTTTTTACCGTCTCTTCTATCTGATACCGCCAAAATGACTGTCCCCATCACTGATCACCCCTCCAAGGATCGAATTGAACCAGGCTCTGTCAATCTCCCCGTGGGAAAGTTCCCCCAAACTGCCTCCTCCACATCTATTGATGCGGCCAAGGTCGCTTCAGACGTGATCGATCGTTTGAATAATGCCCTAAAGCAGAAGAACTACAAGGCAGCCTCAGATCTATTTCTTGAGGACGGCTACTGGCGGGACCATCTAGGTCTGTCGTGGGATTACCGCACCATCAAAGGCAGAGAGAACATCGCCACGTTCCTCGAGCAGTCCGCACGGCTGGCCCGGATTGATATTGACCAGTCATCGCCCTTCCGTGCGCCCCATGTCGGCCCAATTGATGCGTTTGGTGAGGTCACTGGCGTGGAGTTTTTCACCACTTTCACAAACGATGTAGGGCATGGAAGGGGTGTGGTCCGCATGGCGGAGAAGGACGGTGTCTGGAAAATCTTCACTGTCTTCACGACCCTCCAGGAGCTCAAAGGGCATGAGGAGACTGTGAACACCCGTCGGCCACTGGGCGTGCAGCATGGAGCGCAATTGGGCAGAAAAAACTGGCAGGATAGACGGACCTCGGACACAGAATTTGAGGGAAAGGACCCCGTTGTCCTGGTCATCGGTAGGTGACCGTATCTCGACTGAAGAGAGTCCGATGCTGACGTGACAGGTGCTGGTCAATCTGGGCTCACAATCGCTGCTCGTCTCAAGATGCTCAATATCGACACTTTGGTCATTGACGAGGAGGACCGCATCGGAGACAATTGGCGGCGGAGATATCACCAGCTCGTGCTGCATGACCCCGTGTGGTTCGATCACTTGCCATACTTGCCCTTCCCTCCGAATTGGCCGGTATTCACGCCGAAGGACAAGCTAGCCGAGTTCTTCGAGGCGTACGCCAAGCTTCTCGAGCTCAATGTGTGGACGCGGGCCAAGCTTACATCATCCTCGTGGAGTGATGATAAAAAGCAGTGGACGGTTGTTCTTGAAAGACGACGAGAGGACGGCTCAGTCGAGAGCCGCACCCTTCATCCACAGCACGTCATCCAAGCTACCGGCCATTCCGGAGAAAAGTGTCTACCCCGGTTCAAGGGGATGGAGTCTTTCAAGGGTGATCGAATCTGCCACAGTTCCGAGTTTACCGAAGCAAATCCCGCTTCCAAGGGCAAGAAAGCCGTGGTCGTCGGATCAGGCAACTCTGGCCACGACATTGCGCAGGAGTTTTACGAAAAGGGATACGATGTCACCATGGTCCAACGAAGCACAACGTGCGTTATTTCATCCGGGTCGATCGTCGAGATCGGGCTCAAGGGTCTCTACGAGGAGGGCGCGCCCCCGACCGAAGACTCGGACCTGTATCTGTGGAGCATCCCGAGCGAGCTGTTCAAGGCGCAGCAGATCAAGTTGACCGCCGTTCAGAATCAACGCGATGCCGCGATCCTCCAAGCATTGGACAAGGCCGGTTTCAAAGTCGACATGGGCTCGGACAACGCTGGTCTCCTGATGAAGTACCTGTCGCGGGGCGGCGGCTACTACATTGACGTGGGCGGCAGCCAGCTCATCGCGGACGGCAAGGTCAAGGTCAAACAGGGCCAGGAGATCACCGAGGTCCTCCCTCACGGACTTCAGTTCGCAGACGGCACGCAGCTAGAGGCGGACGAAATCGTCTTCGCGACCGGATACCAGAACATGAAGACGCAAGCGCGGGCCATCTTCGGCGACGAGGTCGCTGATCGCGTCGAGAGCGTCTGGGGATTCAACGAGGAAGGCGAGATGCGCACGATCTGGCGCCAGAGCGGTCATCCAGGATTCTGGTTTATGGGCGGGAACCTTGCGCTCTGCCGGTACTATTCGCGGCTGTTGGCCTTGCAGATCAAAGCCGTCGTGGAAGGCATCACCATCTATGGAGCGAAGTAGACGCATCAGACTCAGTAGGAGACTGGAAAAGACATCTTTATCAATATGACCGTCATAATCGTTGATTGGCACTGCTTTCTAACCTCAACTCAGCCACCCCTCTTGCGATGCAACCCAAACCCCCATCGTCAGAACCATCGTATAAACAGCTGTCCTGAACTGCCCCTCCGACGGTTCAGATTCATCTGTAGACGAGCCCAGCCCCAATCCCACACACTCCCGAAGCGCCTCGCGCGGCAGCCGCTCCCAACACCCAACCTCAAACCCCCTTTTCGTAAGCGAGGCCACCCGCATCCCTCGCCGCGTCTTCACGTCCACAATCCCCAGCACGAATTTTCCACTGTCACCCCCCGGCGCCGGATCCGTCGACGACGAAGAAAACGACGTACTCCGTGTTCTGCCCCCCTTGCCAGTCCCCCGCCTCTTCCACTCTAGCACGTACTCCCCCTCGCCATCCCGTCCCTGAAACCGATACCCACCCCCGGCCGTCGCACTCGCGGTCCATGCGCGGCCCCCAAGCGGGAAATGCACCTCCGCCTGCGCCGGCGCCGGCGCCGGTCCCTCCTTTTTCGATGGTTTCGGTACGGGTGCGTGGTAGATGACGCTCACGATTGCTTCATGGCTGGCGTCTGTGTCTGAGTCTGCGGCAAAGTTGTGGTTATGGTTCTCGCCAGATAACGAGGTGTAGGCCTCGCTCTGTGTGATGTACATATCTCCCGCGTGGAGCTTGGGGAGACTGGCGCACGGCCGGGCAGCGAAGCGCGAGGGCTGCCAGACTTCGAGGACGGGGAGCGGCCGGGCGGATCTTGGGGAGAGATGTTGGATTTGGAGGAGGAGTCTGGGGGAGAGGCGGAGGCGTTGGGCGGGTTTTGGGGGTGGGTGGGCGAGGGGGAAAATTGATTGTTCTTTCAGTTGCTTTTGGGGCGCTGGGATGCTGTTCTATTGTCAGTGTATTTATTTCTGGGAGTAGGTGTAGGATTGTAGCTACCTGGTTGTGCTGTCTGTGTCGCTGCCGCTGGGGTCCGGGGAGATGGAGTCCATATTGTTCGTAGGGTGTAGTTCAAATACGTCGAATGAATGTAAGCACGCTGCAGATAATTGTCTGCTTGTGAGGTTAATATCTATAGCTAGTCCAGTTGATTGATGAGAGGCTGCTGAGCTGCTAAGCTAAGTGGTTACGGCCTATTTATACATGAACCAAATAACAGTACATTCGGAACACATTCCCAAAGTGGGACACATCGTATTCGTACCTAAGTTGTTGCTCAGAACAAGAGGATCCAGAGTAACTAGTTATGACTTAAATCCTGCTGCTAGGCAGCTACGAGTACGAGCGGAGCCAAACTTGGCAGTTCAAGGGAGGGGGACTCCGGCGTCGGTTCATCCCGATCATCTAATTCTTCTGCCTGATCATGCTCTAGTATGATTCGTCTTTGGATGAATCAAGCTTAATTATTTTTGGCCTCGGTATTAGCTGTCTTCGATCTTGTTGGTTATGCGGAAGTTCGGCAGCTGCGAGATTCATCACGGCCCAATCGAAAAAGTGGGTAAACGAGTGCGAGTACGAGCCCACTGCCAAGTCAAACGGGTGCTTCAGGGTGACGGACACAATCCGCGATGCTAAATTTGACTACGGGGAAAGGGACCAAGGCAAATAGTATTCAGCAAGGCTCACAAGGCTGTTTAACATAAAATATGATCGTTTACTAAGCAGTATTTATAGGAATTGGTTGATTCTGCATCTCATGAAGATTATCTAAGAGATATCACATGAAGATATGTTTAAGTGGTGCCCTAGAGAGTCAGGAAAGGAAGAGGCCATGAACGAATTCTCCAAATGAACTCGATGTCTCTTCGCTGCTTATTTAATGGAGGGGGACTTTGATCACGGCACAAGAAGTCCAGAAGCACTGGACAGCTATCTATAACTTCCAACGACGTATAAATACCAAGGTGTTCGATTGGAGGCGCAGGTCAACTGGAGTAACAACCCTAGGCTTCAGGTCGATTGCTCCTTGTCAAGTGGCCCATATACGTCAACCCACCAGACTTTCTCTACCAAAGGGCATTCTGGACCATAATACAGCTGTGCATGAGCGTGTGCCTATAGTGAAGATGCTCTAAAATGGACCGCTTTACCGGGGATAGATGGTAGATAGCTCGAAACTGCTTGTAGATGCGGAAATTGGTAGTATCTAAATACGTAAGGTGACCGAACTTCACTGAAGGTACTCGCATAACTCCCACCGGTGTCCAAAGGTTTCTTCCAAGGAGACTCTGTTCAAGTTGGAAATAGTTAATCTACAATAATCCAATCCTTCCCCCTCTTATCCCCGAAGAAAGGAAGTATTCGGTTCTCAACATTTCACCCAGTTGTGATTCCATTGAAAATGCCGGAGGAGCGAGAAAGCCTTATCTCTCGCCATTTCTCCCCACCTTCACAGATCGTTATTGCAATTACCGATATATTTTTTTGCGCGTTTGGGGAAATCATGGTCCCATAGCTGTGAGCTGTTGATATAGCTGTCCACCAGTTTGCATCTCTCCGACGACGCATACGGCAGCAAGGAGTATATTCGGGGCGAGGACAAAAGAGTGCCAATTGTTCGAGAGAACACAATTTTTGAATTCACTCAATTCTTCCGGGTCGCCACAAACATGGTTACCGTTCAGTTTTGCTTCGCATCTTTCCATGACATCGTGAAATATCTGGTCAAGGTACACGGCGAAGACATCTTTGCCGTCGTCAATTTGACAGTAGTAAGCAGCCCCGTCTTCCACCACCCCGTTAATGAATTCCTTTCCATACTTCAGCCATTCGGCCGGCTTGGGCTTGCATCCAGCCTGACAAGCCACTCGCTCCCCTGCTTCCATGAAAAGTGCCGGGATTTTGTTCATACTATTGACGGTGCTGATGCAGCTCGACCCCAATAGAGCGTTCACAGCTGGAGAGACTGCTGTCAAGAGAGCAAGGAACTGGGTTGGTCTCATGTTGGGTGGTCCAATAAAGCTAGGGATAGATAATTGAAATTGCATAGTTAAAGAAGAATTCAAGTTGGATGCTTTGTGGTTGTGTGATAAACCTCGATTCATGTCAATCAGGGCTATTTGTAGGACGGACCCACGGGCACTAGGATTCCGCCCTGATGGAGGTTTCTCGAGAGCGTAAACATTGCTAAGGTAAAACCTTACATTCCTGCTTGTACGAATGAATTGGGTCCAAAGCCATGTAAGGGGCCCTGAGCTATCTGTTGAGGTACTATCGGTTGGTAAGCGTCTCTATAAAGCAAGGGCGCGACGACTGATAGTTCCAGGCCATTGAAAATTATTTCCTGTGCCATTTCCAATCCCCAACACATTTCCGACACTCTACGACTCTGCGAATTCTCTTCGTTGATAGTCCTTAGGCTGTTGGATACAATAATACTCAAGCCAGGTTCCAAATACGGCGGTACAATGTCTACCAAAGTAAATGGCTCAAGCATGCGACGCACTCGTGAAGTCCCTCCTGTCGCCATCGTCGGGATGGCAATGAGATTACCTGGAGGAGCGAATACCGAGAGTGACTTCTGGGATTTGTTGGTCACGGGGAATGACGGCCACTGTCGGGTTCCATGGTCTCGGTATAATGCGCGCTCGCATTCCAGCCCTGCTGACCTTCACACCGTGCGGACAGAATACGGCTACTTTCTACGTGAGGACCCAGCGCGCTTCGATGCCAAGTTCTTTGATGTGCCTGCGCGGCAGGCAGCCGCACTGGATCCTCGTCAGAGACTGCTAGCAGAGGTGGTCTGGGAATGTATGGAAAATGCCGGACAAACAGACTGGTCGGGGTCGGGCCAGAAGATTGGGTGTTATGTTGGCGTCTTTGGCAACGACTGGATGGAGCTTGCGATGCAGGATACGCAAGATTTTAGCTACAATCGAGTAGCTTGCACCATGGATTTTATTTCCAATTCTATATCTTATGCATTTGACTTGACAGGCCCAAGGTGAGTGAGTAATATCCGCCAGAGGAAAAGATTTGCAGGCTAATACAGTCCAACCCCAGTGTCACATATAATACAGCATGCTCTTCTTCTATGGCTGCATTACATGATGCCTGTCAGGCACTCTATGATGGCGATTGCAAAGCGGCGATTGTGGCAGGAGCGAATCTCATTTTCACGCCAACCATAAGCACGACCCTGTCTGATTACCGGGCCATGGCCTCTGATGGAATCTGTAAGACATTCGATGCAGCAGCAGATGGATATGGCCGCGGTGAAGCGGTAAATGCTATCCTCATCAAGAGATTGGATCACGCAATCCAGGATGGAGATCCTGTGCGAGCTGTGATCCGTGCAACAGCCCTGAACTGCGATGGTAGACAAGAATCTCAAGGGGCTCCCAAAGCACGAACCCAGGAGGAGGTCATCCGGGACGCATATGCCAGGGCGGGGATAGAAGACTTTTCTCGTACAGCCTTTTTTGAATGTCATGGCACGGGAACTCAAAAAGGCGATTTGGCCGAGGTAACGGCGATTAAGAACGTATTTGAGAAGGGTATTATGATTGGAGCGGTTTGGCAGCCCCTTTCAAGTTGGCTAACTTCCACCTTTACTGACAGGCCTACAGGTGAAACCCAATGTTGGGCATGCAGAGGGCGCTTCAGCTATTACAAGCCTCATAAAAGCGACTTTAGTGTTAGAGCACAAGCTAGTACCCCCCAACATCCATGTCAAGAAACTGAATCCACGCAGTAAGTGCACATGTATCTAGGGGTTCTCTTTCGCATATACTGATCGCCTGCATGCAGTACCCTTCCAACAATCTGGGATCGTTGTTCCAACAGAGCCGACTGCCTTGTCAATTGAACGTGCAGAGCGAGTTAGCGTCAACAGTTTTGGTGTAGGAGGTTCAAACGCACATGTAAGAAGACCTCACATAGCCCTCAATTGTCTTTTTCGAGCTGAAAAATGATAGGCTATCTTGGATTCCTGGTCCTCAGTTCGTACTAGCAGTGAAGATGACTCTTTGATCCCTGATGGTATCTCGAAACAGAGGTTGCTTGCTGTTTCCGCAAAGGGCGCAGAGGCTCTTCAATTGCGAGCTCGGGAAATTCAAGCTTACCTTGGAAACACTAAGCAATCACTACATGATCTGGCCTACACTCTGGGAGTCAGAAGGGTTCACCTGCCCCATCGGGGTTACGTGGTGGCAAAAGACCAATCTACTCCAGACATAGGCAACTTCCAATTGTCACGAGAGACCTGCGCGTTCTCGGCACTCACATTCGCCTTTACCGGGCAGGGGGCACAGTGGCCTGGGATGGGCAAGCAGCTGATGGCTGAATTTCCAAGCTTTCGAGAGGATATATTTCGAATAGACGACATATTGCGAAAGTTGGAAGAGCCCCCGCGGTGGAAAATACAAGGCAAGAATTGGACACCTTCAGAAGCGAACATTGTATGTTCTAACGGTTAGCCAGATGAGCTCGTCAAAAGTGATAATGACCAAATTAACAACCCCGAACTAGCCCAGCCACTTTGTACCGCCGTCCAGATAGGTCTAGTTAACCTCCTTCGACGCTGGGGGCTTCGGCCAGATTCAGTTGTTGGACACTCGAGTGGTGAGATCGCTGCAGCTTATGCTGCAGGTGCAATCCCAATCAGGACAGCCATGATTCTTAGCTACTATCGTGGCCAAGTCACAAAGTTACAAAGCCTCCCGGGAGCAATGGCTGCCGTGGGTATTGGTAAGTCCGATGCTCTGCGATACGTGACGGATGAAGTTGTAGTGGCGTGCGACAACAGCCCCCAGAGCACCACTCTGTCCGGAAGTCCTGAGGCATTGGACCGCGTTCTTCAGCAGATATCAAGGGAGCATCCGGGAAGTTTCTGCAGACGGCTTTACGTGCCCATAGCGTATCATTCCCGTATGGCTCCACAAGTTGTACTGCCATACCAATACGGAAGACTGACTCTTACCAGATCATATGGAGAAAATCGGGCTGGCGTATGAAAAGCTGATCAAGCGCCATCTACTGAGGAATGCTTCAATGGGCGTCCCATTGTATTCCACAATAACGTGCGATGTGATCGCATCACCAGCCGAGTTGGATGCGGATTATTGGCGTCGGACTCTCGATTCACAAGTCTGCTTTTACCCTGCGGTCCAGTCGCTTGTGAGTCAGACTACAGAAAATAGAGTCTTCGTGGAAATTGGACCACACTCGACGCTATCGACACCCTTGCGGGACATATTTCGAAACTGTGGTGGATCATCGCGACTGGACTATATTCCAACCCTTGTAAGGAACCGGGATCAAGTAAGTTCTTTACTCGCCACTGCAGGGGAGCTTTACATACGCCATATTCCAGTGGATCTGTTGGAGGTCAATGGTGGCCGCGGGAAGGTTCTTACAGATCTCCCACGCTATCCGTGGGGTCATGATAGGAGATATTGGCACGAGACCCGCATGGCAAGAGAATGGAGAGATCGAAAATTCGGACACCACCCGCTTCTGGGAGTCCGGACGCTTGAATCATCAGATCAAGAACCGGCTTGGAGGAACCGCCTCGAGCTTAAACGCATACGCTGGCTTTTAGACCATCAAGTGGGTAATGACATCCTTTTTCCGTGCGTTGGCTATATTGTAATGGCCGGTGAAACAATGCGCCAAATCCACGGCCAAGAGTGCTATTCAATCAAGAACCTATCTGTGGTATTGCCTCTCGAATTGCGGGAGGATGAACCCACCGAGATACTCACAAGCTTGCGACCAGTCAAACTCACGGACAGCCTTGATTCACAGTGGTTCGACTTCACTATCTCGGCATACGATAACCAACGCTGGCGAAAGCATTGTTCGGGTCAGGTAATGGCAGGCAAGGAGGAAGGGATGGCGACCTCGACTGACGACGTTCATCCTTTCGTTCGCCACATCGAGCCGCAGTCGTGGTATAATGTTATGGACAAACGTGGGCTGGCCTTCGGGCCTGAATTCCGCAGGCTCCGAAATATTACTGCAAACCCAATGAGGCACGAGGCAGTAGCTACGGCACGCCTTGATCGCACGGTGAAAGACGAGCATAGCATGCATCCATTGATTATAGATCAAGGTCTCCAACTCCTAGGCGTTGCATTGAGCAATGGCCTTTCCCGCCGCATGCCAAGATTTGGAATCCCTGTGTCAATTGATAGCATCTACATTGCCCCAGTTGGGGAAGAGACCACCTTCAAGGCCAGTCTCCCGACAACCCCGAGCGGCCAACTGAGCGCAGCATTAGGTGGAGATGTGATCGGGATATCGAACGGAGAGGTGGCTCTAGTCATGAGAGGAGCCAAGTTCCTGCCCCTGGACCATAGCCCGGAGTTAAAAGACGTTAACATCCCGTTGTGCTCTCGACTCGAATGGAAGCCGGACATTGACTTGCTTTCTCCCAAGGCCTTCTTGGCAAAATCTATCCCGCGCACCAGTGCGATGACTCTCGTACTCAAATTGACCCTATTGGGTATCATGCACCTTATGGAACGAGTTGGAAGCTACACAGGAACATTGGAGGTTTCGATGCAATACGAGAGTTTGGTGAATAAAAACTTCAATCGACTCCTGGAAATTCTGCAGTCTGTTTTTCCTGAGGTCAGAGGCTGGGACATGGGTACAGCATCTATTCGGACAAAGATATTGAGAGACGTTAAGAAGGCCATCGCTTCTCCCAGACCAGAATTTCGGCCGATACGCAGCTTTCTGATGAGCGGTCTCGATGTCATTGAGAATAGGACGCCGATTATGGACTTTTTTGTAGGAGACGCAGGTTTCAAGTCATTCTACGAGCTCATTGCAAACTGCGTGGACCTGGGTTTCGCTTTCTCATTGCTAGGACACTTGGATCCCGCACAGAGGATACTTGAGATCAAGTCCAGCACATGCGGCGCCACGGCTGGCATTTTGAGTTCCTTGTACTCGGCAGAAGGGATACGGTTGTTCAAGAACTATACCCTTGTCGCTATGTCTTCGGAATTACTCGTCGAGCACAGTGACAGATTCAAAGACATGGACGGGTTTGAGTGTGCTGTTCTTGATCTCGCCAGCAGCCCTATTGAGCAGGGATTTGAAGCAGCGTCTTATGATTTGATTATTATTCCTAGTGTTCGTAGGCTCGGATGCCTGATATCCCAAAGTTTTCTCCAGGGGCTGAAATTGATCACAGGACTTGCCTGCCAACGCCGACCCTAACACCTCCTTGCACAACCTAAGGAGTCTGCTTGTTCCGGGGGGCCGTTTGTTGATTCGGGAGGTTACACCAGGTAAGATGTCGCCCAAGAATGCTTTAGTGGAAGTGCGACTGACCCACAAAAGATGTTCCCTTCGTGGATTATGCCATGGTATGTGAGCGTGTCAGATATACTGAAACCTGGTCCTGAATGCGCCTGGGCTGACATTCTGTATATCATCAGAGCTTGATTCCAGGAGTTTCCATCTTTAGCCATGGTTCTCAGCACAAGAACCTTTACCCGCCTGAGTGCTGGAAGGAGAAACTCTGTGAAACTGGATACGAGCAGACCGAGCTCACGTCCTGCCTGTTCAATGCTTATCCATGGTCCTTAAAGCAGAGCATATTTGCAAAGTCTCCGTATCTGGAGAATCAGAAGGGTGCCGTTCACCTGTTATGCAACTCGCATTCACACCAATGGACGCAAGCGGTTACTCGACTACTGCGTAAGGAAGGATATGCTGTTGAGTTCTTCACGCTGGAGGACCTACCACAGGACACAGAAGACGTTGTCTGTCTTTTGGACCTGGAGGAGGCGTTTTTGCAAAATATCTCAAAGGAGAGATACGACGCACTGCTACGTTATATCTCACAAAGGCGACGGACACTGTGGGTTACCAAAGCCTCGCAAATGACATGCGAGGATCCGTCATATGGTCTGATTCTAGGTTTAGCGAGAACGATCCGATACGAAGAGTCGATTCAGTTTGCAACCCTCGAAGTGGAAGAATTTAATTTTACAGCAGCCGGATTGCTGGTGAAAGTGTACGAGAAGTTCCGGCAGCAGTGCACCCAAGGAGTGTCACATCCCGAGTGCGAGTTTGCCATACACAAAGATGTCGTGCATGTCGGCCGATTCCATTGGTTGGCACACCGTGATATCAGACCCGTTTTGGATACCGATGATGCTCCTCGGATACTCGAGGTTGGGAAGCTCGATGGCAGGGACCCTGTCATCTGGAGACAAAAGTCACCCCCTCGCCTCGGTGAGGACGATGTGACTGTGGATGTGCATTTTGTCGGACTGAATTTCAGGGTAGGTGCTAACAATGAGCAAAATACTTAATCACGGGCTGAGCTTGAATAGGACGTTATGGTCTCGTCCGGGTTCATTGGGAATGAACATGGAATGGGCCTTGAGGCCAGCGGGATTGTCCGGCAGGTTGGGCCACGAGTTACACATCTTCAACCTGGAGACAAAGTCCACGTTATAGGCACGGGACTCTTGGCTACAAGTGTTACCACTGCCAGTCAGTTCTGTTTTCCGGTTGCTAGCGACATGTCTTTGGAAGATGCAGCCACAGTGCCGATCGGATATGCAACCGCGATCTACTCGCTTCTCACTGTTGGACAGCTCGAGAATGGCCAGGTACGAGTATTCTTGCTACAAATTTACCCAGAAAATGAACTTACGTAGTACGGACAGTCCGTCCTGATTCACTCGGCATGCGGAGCGGTAGGACAGGCCGCAATCCGTGTATGCCAGATGATGAATGCCAAAGTAAGCCTGGATATGTATCAAGGAGAAAATGAAAGTTCGCTAATTTTGTCAAACCAGATCTTTGCCACAGTTGGGAATGGACAGAAGGTACAGTATCTCGTCGACAACTTCGGCATACCCCGAAGCAATATTTTTGCGTCTCGGAACGCATCCTTTGTTTCTGGGGTGATGCAAGAGACAGAGGGAAAAGGTGTCGACATTGTTTTAAACTCACTCTCTGGTGCCCTGCTCCACGAATCCTGGAAGTGTGTCGCAAAGTTCGGCAAAATGATCGAAATAGGGAAGCGTGACCTCATGGGCCATGGCAGGTTGAACATGGAGACTTTTGCAGCGAACAGAACTTTTATCGGTGTCGATTTGCTGCAGCTTCTGCTAGAAAGCCCGGAACGATTTCAGAGGTGAGTTCGGGCCTGATGTGACAATGTCGAGGGCGTAATAATGACAGACGTATGTCCAGGCTCAGACAATCATTCTATAGATTGAATCGGGGAGGGCACCTCAAGCCGATCCATCCGATAAAAGTATTTGACGCGAGCCACGCCCACCAGGCTTTGGCATATATGCAACGAGGGACACATATCGGCAAGATATTGGTTAAGATAGCGGCTGGTGAAGATGCTGATTCAATCGCAATGATTAAGCCCAGCCCCCGATTTGCACCAGACGCCGCGTATCTTCTCGTCGGAGGTCTAGGGGGAATAGGAAGAGCGGTATCTAACTGGATGGTTGAAAATGGTGCAAAAACCCTGGTTATACTTTCGCGATCTGGAGCCAAATCTCCCTCTGACCAGGCATTCCTTGAGGAACTTCGATTCCAAGGGTGCAATGTCGTCGTGGTAGGAGGAGATGTGTCGGATATAAACGACGTGCGCAGTGCCATAGCAAAAAGCCCCAAGCCCATATCTGGGGTGATTCACCTCGGTATGGTTCTAAAAGTAAGTCGCCAATGACCTCCCTATATACGATAACTGTGGCTGACTCTTGTGTAATCGGAATCAGTCTGCTCCGCTGCTGAAGTCTTCGCATGAAGATTGGGTTGCCGTCCAAAGCCCCAAAGTGGATGGCGCTTGGAATCTCCACCATGCGCTCGGCACTGCAGATCTTGATTTCTTTGTTGTTTTCAGTTCCATCGCCAGCCTCTGTGGAATTATCGGTCAAGCCAGCTATGCTTCGGCCAACGGGTTCCTAGACGCCTTTGTCAGATATTGCCACTCGCTAGGTTTGCCAGCAACCACCGTTAATCTTGGCGCGGTGGGCGATATCGGGTGCTTTACTAGGACTCCCGAGTTGTTAAAGAGCGCGGTGGCTTTCGGTACTCGAATCCTCGAAGAAGGCGATGTTCTCACTGCCCTGCAGCTGGCGATCGAGAGCTCAAAGTCGACACCCCCAGCTGTTCAGTCAGAGCCGTCCCAGGTGATCGTGGGCATGAGTTCGACCAAGCCACAATCAGACCCTCTCGCTAGGCCATTATGGTCTCAAGATGCTCGATATCGGCTGTACGAAAACCTGGAACACACTCAGTATACGTCGCGGATGGATCTCCTTGACGAGGCCAAGCAGTTCTTCTCGGAGGCCAAACAAAACCCGGAGATGTTCAAAGAGGAACGAGCATGGGAATTCATTCTTAATGTGATTCGACTACAGTTAAGCAAACACGAAGTTGAGGAATTAAGTCTGGCGCAGATTGCTGACATGGGGATTGACTCTCTTATGATGATGGAGAGTATTGGTGCACTCCGAAGACATTTCGACGTGGAGCTGAGTATAACCGACATTTCAGCCGCAGGGACCTTTGGCGAACTGGTCAGAACATTACAGGAAATCCTCTACAAGAGGTACATGGAGAGTGATAGTTGAGTGAGGAGGAGTTGATTCTGAGTTACATATTAATATATGGTGGGCGCAAGGCCCCTAATGATGTGCGGTTGGACTTTTTTGGTGGCGGCCAGAGGTCGCTTAAAACATCAGTGAAGGGTATAAGTGTAGATATTCCTTATACCATAAATAAACGAAAGTATTCGGCGCAAATAAGTAATCAGCAAGGCTCACAAGGCGCCCCAGCGATCATCCACTTGTCGGAGATGTTCAAACTCGTCTGCCCACTCATCACGCATAGGCTCAATCGTGATTCCACGGTCCTTTGCAACGGCATACAGCCGGTCGCAAGCAGCTCGAGCTTCCCGAAGAACCGCTTCTGGCGCCTGGACCTCTTTCCTTCCATTCTTGTCACCTTCATAATGCAAGTCAAGCACGAAACCCAGCTTCTTCAACTCGGGGAGATAATCCTTCGACGCGAAAGACTCAATCCACTTCTCCCACTTCTTCGACTGACACAGGGATGCCGGACCCCGAAAGTAGAGGGCCGACAAACTCGGCGGCAACTTTGTATACAGGTTTGGCAGATACTCCTTGTCCTCGAAAATATCCCCCACGCTCAACCGCAGCGTCTGCAGGTTCAGCAGATGCGGGAGCACAGTCACAAACATGCTCTCTTTCGCATAGTGGAAGTCCAGCCCATGCGTCGAGCGCAGCGTCAGCGTCTTGAGATTATCAACCACATGAGGCAACGCCACCGCCATCCGGCAGAAAGCATCCAGCGCGTCGTTCTCCACAATCTCCAGCGTGTCCGTGGTGATCTGCGCGGGAGGCAGGTTCGCCGACTCCACCTGCGGATGGGGCTTGGAGTACTTGTCCGTCATCCATTGCGCCACCAGCTCAGGGATATACGTCACCTCGATCGTTCTCTTCGCCGGTGTGCCCTCGTCTAGCGTGATGTATCTCGGCGTGGCCTCGCCGCGCTCAATGGCTTCGCGATTCACGCGCTGCAGTTCTGCGTTCGTGGGGCCTTCGAATCGTAGACCAGAGGTGAAGATCAGAGCGAGATGCTTTACTCGGCCTTGGAGGATGAAGGGTGTTTGGATGACCTGGCCCGAGGCGGAGCTGATCTCCAGCCGTTCGAGGGGCCAGTGCAGGGGCATCTCTTTATCGTTGAGGCCCTCGTCGTACCCGCTGTCCAGTTCCAGGTCGCGGATGTTGGTAAAGTGCTCCCCGAGGATTGACCATTCCTTGTCCGAGGGAGTGCTTTCCTCAATTCGCAGAAAGCTGGTGTCCTGGGGGATGCTCTTGAGTTGTGAGATGAGGCTGGCTTTGTGGTCGTCCTGGTCCTCGCTGCCCGGCCCTTGCACGCGCACTGTGGGTGTGGGGGATCCGCTGAGGTTTGGGCCCTTCTGAGTAGCATCTACCGTAGCAGCGCGTAGCTGTGCGAAAGCAGGCCATTGTCTAGGCTGGCCAACGGGTTTCCTAAATGGCACTCCAATTTGTTGAGTTATCCTCCTGGAAGGAAGTGACCAAAATCGCCCCTTGAGGCAGGTGGATAGACAACGACTATGCTACTCTGGTCAGCTTTAAATTCTAATTGGGACGTCCATATAGAACTCACCATGTTGATTCTGTAGTGAGCAAGGGATGAATCGATGACGAGGTGTTGCTTCCGGAGTTGTCGTCCATATCGCCTTATCATCTTATCCTTATCGCTTATCTTATCGTAGCTTGTTTGCTCTGTTTGTCCCCATGTGTCTTTCATGCCTGAGGCAGTTCGATTTTATGGCACAATGGCTTGAGAGACTTATTGTTGACGGATTGATATCAGTCCAACAACTTCATTCACTTTACTTAGCTTTAAACATGATGACGTATCCTTAGTGAATTAATTTTATCCCTATCCCCAACCCGGAAATGTGATTGGGCCCTACAGATGACGACATTGACTTACAATGGTCAGATAGGGCTCTATGGAAGGCTATTCACTTCTTTGACTATCCTGCTCTGATGAGCTGCTGACATTCACCAGACTCAGCTGCTTGTCATTGTTGATATAAGGATATAAACCTGCCATTGCCCCCAAGCCTTGCTTCATCAATCCAAAGCAAAATGCCGTTTTCAGCCGAGACAGCTGCTGAGATGCCAGAGCAGCTCAATAATGCAACTGCATTTCTCATGCAGATGAATTCATCAAACATGTTTCTGATACTATTTCAACTTTGAACCCCCCCGAAGAGACTGTGTACAAGCAGGATCACAAACACTGAAGGGAGTCTCCCTTTCCTCCTTCGTGCCCCTGGGCATCCAGCTCGTACTTCCGAAGAACTGTCTCACTTTCGTTTCCTCTCAAGAGCACAATTGTGGAGGACGTTTGCTTTCTTTGCTAGATACTTACAGTGTCGCTTCAAAGAAATCGTATTGATTCTCAGGTTTCCTTCCTCCAAAAGAAGACATGGAACCAATTGTGATCTTCATTGCGCGTGCATCCGCGGCAATGGCATCCCTCTATGGCCAATCTGCCACGTCGAGTTGGGTATTCGTGTTTATACCGGCCGATTTACAGCCTTTCATTTACTTCGAGGTCAAGGACAGGGAAATTCTTCCTCGGTGAGTCCCGACATCTCATGTATGGAGACCATAAGAGCTGCAGACCTCTGAAATTGGTAAGCCGGGCCATTTTATTGCTCGTTCTCAACTGACCTTTCATGAGGAACTACAATGCTGAGACGAGCACATTGTGGCTTCGAATGATGGCAACTAGGCTACCATGCTCCGATGGACTCCGGAATATTACCCTCACAATTCTCTGGACTATGATTGCGGGCAAATTCTGGGGACTGGCCCTTAACGTGGCATGGACATCCAAGAAGCGATGACGCAGGTCAGCCTCACGCAGTAGATCCAATCAGCTTTGTGGCGGTATGAATGGTCTGTCAAAGGTGGATCAGCGACGCGATCTTTCGTTGATACCTTCCAAATAGAAATCTCGGATTTAGGCTGTACAGAGGATGCCATTTGAGCAATTCTTTATAATGCAGAGAAGAGCTGCCCTCCCGCCATGGCATCTCAGCGCGACGACAGGAATTACCCCGGCCCCTGCCCCCGCTTCTAAGAGTCAGTCTATCGATTCAACCTTTATGACAAGCATCTAGTGGCAATGCTAATATAGCTATAGAGCGAAAGAAATGTGGGGAGTGTGGAAATTTCCACAAAGGGGATTGCTGGCCCCTTTGTGACTCCTGCGCGCCTCGCCATCTTGGCGACTGCACCCGGGCCCGCTCGTGGTGGTTTCTCAACATTAAACAAAGTTCCATGATGAATTTCATAAGCAGCATTCTGGGAGGCTCTATGCCTCGTCCCATCATGACGCGTAGGCCGACTTAACTACTGTTTTTACTATTCATCACTCCTAACTATATAAATGCCAGATGGCCGGTGACCTGACTGTACAGCTGGACTATGGCATCCTGATTGGAACACTCTGAAAGTTTGACCACAAGCACGTAGGGATCGACAAAGATGACAATCGGCCGTGGAACACATCTAAGGGTGGTTTCCTACGTCCCCGAGATCTACGAATCGGAAATCCAGTTCGTACGGAGAGTACAACTGCGCCAGATTCCCTCTATCATCACATCCGAATCTGCCTCTCATCTGGCAGTTGACGCGCATGGCCGGTTAGAAGGCCCCTACTAAGGAGGAGAAAGGGAAATCAGTTTGCAACACACAGATAGTATACCATGTGCCCTCTTCTCAAAAGCCACGCGAGGAAATATTTGGCAGAAGGACTAGAGGACCTAAAGGGGAAGGGAGTCTAAAGAGAATCCATTACACGCCTAGGCTCACAATCCAAGCAGCCAAATTTATGATACACAGGGGGCCCCTCAGGCAATTTGGAGCTGTCGACAGTAGGGAAATAGATCAGACAGAGCATCGAATACTGATACCAAGCCTCTGACCAACTGTATCCATTCCGTCAGTGGTCTATATGAGTCAAGAGGTCGATCCTGTAAAGACGCAAATGCCTCGGTAAATAAGAGAATGCATGTAAAGCCCGCTGCATCGGCAACCTTGGTATCTATACTTCCCACGCACTGAGGTCATTAGGCACACAGAGGTCAAGAGAGGGCTTAGGGAACCCCTGGACACAAGCTTAGGAGGAGCCAAGCCTTCAAATCAGGCGCATATTGAAGGCAGAAATATATATATAACAAGTGTTGTATTCCCTGCTGTGGTGACCCTACTGCTATCATTCCTACTAGCTAGAGACGGTTGTCTTGGCGCCCTTTGGCAGAGTGGTTTGATGTATGACAACAAGTGTAGCTAACTGCTAAGCTGCCAAGTACTCCGTAGGCAGTGGAGCAGTCTCCGCATAGCCACGGTTTCCATGAGTGGCTGGGACGGAGTATGAGAAAATCCAAATCCGAATCCGCTAAGGACAAGGGCGCTTGCAGCTTTGCCCTACTCCTGGCAAGTACGTGCTTTAAATTGAAAGACTTTATGGTCTGTAGCTAAAGTACCTGGCAAGACCCGGCTTCCTATCATTAAACAAACTCGCGTGCAGGTAGAGGTGTACTACATGGCAGTACGCCTCTATCCAAACCCTTGCGAAGACCATGCTTGCTTTCCAAGCTTAGCAGCTGCATCCGCATGCTTTGCAACCACCAGCACCACACTGATCCCCGCGACTGCAGTCGCTGCTGCTTTTGCACCTGACCCAGTCTCCAAATCCATTGTTTTGGGCTGTCCAGCACCATTCACCAGAGCCAGGCTGAGCGCACGACTTGTAGCAGTATCCACCAACGCTGCAGCCGAGAGAGCTGCCAAACCAGCAGTCGCGCTTTTCGAGGCTCTTCTGAAAGGCACCCTCCGGGTGCTCCTTGCATGTTCGAACCGCATTGGGATCGACACCCTCGGGAAGGTCGGTGACATTCATAACGCCCAGGTCGCCGCAGATAGCCTCTGCCATGGCGTAGGAGAGTTTGGTGCCCGAGACGACGCTGACCATGCCGAAGGCAGTAATGGCACTGACCACTGTGGTTGCCTTCATGTTGGTGTTCTTAGAGGAAACTCTGGGCGAAGAGGAGAGAAAAGTAGAATAAACCGAAGAAGTGACTATGTTTGTTTTAAGATTGCAGTTGTCTTGAGAGGCTTGGATGATGAGGGCTGAATGGCTGTTTGTGAACTGGGAGAAGAGAGAGCTTTATACTCGCAGTTTAGGTGGTCAGATCGCCATACCTGGTAAAGTAGMCTCGTTGAGGCCGCATACTCGAGGGAACCTGGTATTGCTATTCCCGAAGCAGATGATCCCAGTCGATTCTCCAAAGCTGGCTTGCGCAAAGCCCCAAATTAATCAATACAACGGATGATAGATATAACCAACAATATTTCCGCCTGCCTCTTAGATAGGTACCCGCTTAGATTACCCACTCGTCCAAGTCAGCTCTGTCGTTCTTGTGTATGACTACTGTTGGCTATGTGTGTGCGAGTTGGGTTTACAGCTTAATGTGCTCAGAAAAAGGTCATTATTTTCGAATGATACAGATGCGATGAGCGTCAGAGACAGCTAATGTCTATTTATCCATGGGTTGAGAGAAAGTGAACGTTACTTACAGTCTCTCTAGTTATTGACAAAACGCTGACTGGAGTAAACTTGCTGCGGGCTCTCCGTCGGCCAAGACCTATGCCTGTCATCAGTAGGCTTTGACACTAATACTCTTATTGCATCGCTGACTGGCTTCTCATTAGGCAGCAGGTCCGTTGTTGTTGAGACGGTCAACGGACCGCAACACATCAATAGATGGTTCTAGACAGGCTAGCCTAGCTATTTGGATACTGGTTAAACTATGTGAAGCTCAGTATATGGCTCATTGCGGGGGGCATTCGGCGACAGCAAACATCGGTCGATAATGGGCTCTTACGGCGCAGTTATGGTGCATGTCTACTTTCACAGAGTAAGACATAGCTAAAGCAGAATTAAGCTAGCATTAAGTGTCCCTCTTAGCGCTGTTTATCTACTTCCCTCCAGCATGACTCAAGAAAGTGGGCCCTCAGGGTCCTTTCAAGGTTTTAAATGTCCCTCATCGCAAACAGGGTTACTTTTATAGGTACTGTGCATTTACTAAGGTAGAAATGGGCATGGCTTCTAACAGCCATGTCGATTTAGTCACGTTAAGGACGGTGATGATTTTCTGTCAATGCTGCTAATAATAATGCTACATCAGGCCACTTGGGCCCCACTTAGTTCACAGTGTACAACAACCAGATTGCTGCTTCCTTGTCCCATTATGTGACGTTACTAGCAAGTTATTGATTATTTGACAGGTTGAKGTAGCAAGTCTATGATACAGTATGGCACCTTGGACTATCATTTTCTACTTAGCTACCTAGTGGCGTAGGTATGTGGATAGGCTTTACGTATCCATACCTCCTCCCAGCGTGGTTGTCATATTAGTGTGCTTTTCCCACAAAGTACGGATAACTTCCGTAACATAATAATAGGGGTACAATGCGAATACGCTGTCTAGCCCAATGCTACACTCGGACGGTCGAGTATTCGAATGTCGACCCACTCGTTCTTGGGAGTTCTACTAGGAGTGTCTAAGTTTACTAGTCTTTCTTGGAGAGTCAGAAAATGAACGTAATTCTTCCAGTCTGGCCCTGGTATAAACTAGGGTACAATACATGCTCTGCACTCGACTTCAGCTGCTAGTGTCCGAATGAACGCGTCTATGGCGACTCCTCAGGAGAATTGCCTGCTCCAGTCCCTTCATGCTCTTTCCTCTTCGCCTGCGAATATGCTTCCCAACTCTGGTTCACGAGTCTCCGTCTCTCCGCAGCCTCCTCCTCGCTTGGTTTTGTCGGCAGGATTCCTGGCGCTGGATGGAATAGTGCTTCTTGACTTGTAACCTTTGTGCCGTCCACGCCATGGAAGTCCTCTTTTTGGGCCTGGTCAAAGGGCATAACGTCTAGAATATTCTTAATCTGTTCGGGGTCGAGGCCGCGCGCATCGACAACCTCGTAGTCACCTGAGATCGTACGCAATACGCCATCCTTGCCGAGGTGGGTGAAACCCTTGCCAGAGGGATCGCGCTTCATGTATTTCACGAAGTCAGGGAGTTTCTGGACATCCATCGTGTTAGCTCTGTATTCTGGGATACTGGTCTTGGTCGAGATGTCCGAGAACTCCATGTATCGCAGTACATGGGTCTCTCTCAGACTATTGCTTACCCTGCAGCTCATATTGGAATCAGTATCAGTAGATTTTGATGACCGGAATGTCTCAACAGACGTCAAATGTTATTAAATATATTAGTCCTAAGGACCCTCGCCAAGTGGGGGGTTGATGGCGGCGCCGAGGTCCACTTCTTTAGGCAAATTCGGTTGGGTTATGATTTTCGGCCCAAACTGTTTGGGATCGATCTCCGGAGTCCCGAGTAGTACTTTTGTCGGAAACTTGTCTTCACCGAAGGGCATGAATAGGTAACTAACTAGTTATTGTCCGGGGCGGGGAAGCACTAAGGTTGCCTGTTATTTACTCTATCATAACGCTATTATTCATTAAAAAGGTGCCTCCCCATTTGTCGTTAACTAGAATCCCCGAATCCCCTCTTGGCACGCGTAAGCGTAGGCCATTTCAGTCTGGATGATCGCCTGCGGGAAAGATACAGCACATTAAGGGAGAGACTGAGAGACTAACAAGAGCAAGATTCAGCATTCTTCATGCTCAAGTTGCAGTGGAAATGTATACATTAAGTTAGGCAGGGTTGATAATAATTTGTTGGTAGGTAGAACCAACACTGCCAAGGTAAAGCCATGTATTTGATCAATAAGAGTAATAGTCTCGTACTCATGTTGGGGACTGAACTGTATGATCGTATGATACTGATAATGATGATGATACCCATCCTAGAGAGCCTTTCTTAGAGCATTTAGCGTCATTCTAGTCTTACTTCTGAAAGCAATTTTGTGCTTTAGGCGGGTAACACCGCCCCAAAAGAAGCATACCCTCACAGGCGCATCCATACTAGTGAACCAGGGTCCCTGTGCTAGGACCAGCATAATTCAAAGAAAGAAAATAGGATGAGAGAAGCGTCTTCGGAGTGTCCGGATTGGCCCCGTAACGAGACGCCAGAGTCCAACCTCCCTCCGTACAGTAGTTATAGTAGTATATATATCAGAGATCGTCTTAAAAATATAGTCTCAAACAATCTTTGAATCCATTCACTTCATCCTAGCAACCTGATAGACACTCATTCCTTTTCGCTTTCCTCTGGCTCTTTCTCTGCAGAACACAATGAAGGTCCCATTCTCCAGCGTTCTACTCGCGACGTTGGCTGTCACCCCTTCCCTCGGGTCTCTTTTCGAGCACCAGAGCGACGTATTAGCTGCTATCAAGGTACGGCTTCACATCCAGGTCCTTTTGCTGGGTTCTACCAATTAGCTGACAATATATAACAAGGACCTTGCCAGAGACCCCAATTCCCGAGGCTGGATCCAGCTCAGCGATACCGGACACAGGATTCAGAGCGTCAACGGAAAGGGAGTAGTCCTGGACGAGATCCAGTTGACTGCTGCGCAGGAAGCTGAACTCCGCAGTTCGTTCGCCGCGCAGGTGGACCAGATCATGGCTCATTCAGATTCCTCACCCGCGTTTACTAAGGAGGAGCGTTCTCTTCTCGACAAGAAAAGTCCCGGTTGTGCGGACTGGGCTAGTCTCTGTGACGAACCCTATGACTGCTACAAGTGGAACTGCGATGACTGCTTTAAAATCAATCCTATTGGGTCGTGCTACAGCTACTCTTGAAAGTTGCAGTACAGGGCCACAGATAACTGCCATCCTCTCGCAAAGCATCTCTCAGCCGCGGGAGGGAAGCTTGGCTGGACCCTCTCCTGTTACTTTTGAATACGTATGGTATGCCTGGGGGAGACAAACGAAGCAGGCAATATTGTATAGGTTTCTGGGGCTTTCTGCGATTCAATTGAAGATACTGGTATAAATTGTTATTGATCGAATGTAAGGCATCATTTTCCCGACTAGAAATCCAGCCGCATTATAAGTCAGCGCCATGTCGACAAAATGGAACACTTTGAGGGACTTGCATGGCAAATTGCTTTGCTGCGTTGACAATCTCTATCTGGTATGTCCGGTACTCCTTGTTTGTAGAGGTGTTGTCAGAGTCCTATCTCCCCTGTGCGCATCTGGATGATGGTTGTACTAATTGCCTGGTGAAGGCTCTGGTGGACTCTTAGTACCTGCTTTAGTGAGGTTAGTGTTAGGTTGTAAACTGTCCTGCCATGGGGGCTGGACTGCTAGTCTTATTCCTACTAAATATTTACTATCTCTCTTATTATTAAATTTCATGGCTGTTTGGAGGAGTCTCTGATGTGCTAATTGGAGTATAGTCTCATTGGTTATAATTTCCTTCCTCCTGTTGCGCTGGGTATTGACCTGCTGCTATCCGCTTGCTTCTTTTGCTACTGTATTAGCTTGTTTATTTCTCTTGAGGCCCCTATGTGAGGGTATTCATCAGAAATGTATGATGAGTGTATGTATATGCTTTATCTAAGGCAACTAGGATAGTCTCTAGGATATATTGCCCTGACTGCTGCGCTGGGTTTTCTAGTGCTTGTTATACTGCTTAGTTATTAGTGAAAATTATTGCGTGTTGTATTTAGCAGAATAGGATAATTATTAGGGCTAGTAAGATCCCTGTAATTTAGTGGTGTAGACTTGCTGCCCTGGGTTATTCTCCTATATATACTAATTATGTCTTGTAATACTAGGGGCAGACTGCTACTGCTCTAACTCTGCTCTTTATGCCACTGCTATCTATGTACCCCGCTATTATAGATTAGCTGTGCTTTATTACTGCTCTATACTACTCTGTGTGATTTCTGTATTCTTATTAATTATTACCTCTAGTGGCATCCAGTATGGCGCTGTGATGAATAGTTAGATGCTCTGCAGGCTTAAAGCATATTTACCTAAGTTTATAGATAACTAGCTTGTTAATCCCTTCTAGAGGACTCCACTCCTATAGGCATCAGCTGGAGTGTATATGTCCCTGTATCCTAGACTCATTGCTATGTGCTCTTATTATCTCTGTGGTCTTACTTGTCTAGATCCATAGAAAGAATACTATTAGCTACTTCTCTAGTACCTGTTGCATGGGGAGCAGGTGAGTCTATGTTTAATACTGTTATTGCCATGGCCCTAAATAATTTGATTTAAATCTGAAGTTAGCAGAGGTCATTCTGCATTAAGCATATACCAGGCAGAGCATCCATAGAGGATTGCAGGAATTATAATTGCTTGCTAGATCTAGTATAACTGTGGTAGACCTGCTCCCCATGTGCTTCCTGCTAGTGTTGCCAGAGGTACTAGGAGAGGGGTAGTTTTCTCCTGGATGTGCTTGATCTGTTCTTCCTATCTAAGTGCTAAGTTTAGAGTGATGCCTAAGTATGTGGCAGTGTGGGTGGGCTGGACTACTATGTCTTTATGTTTCTGTTGTATTGAATCTTGCCCTGGATTGGCTGAATTGGATGAGCTGGTACTTCGCCGGTGAAAACCTTGGCCTGTGTGTCCTAGCCTAGCTCTCTGCTCTTTAGTGTGCCTGTTCTAGCTTTTGGCTGCTTTGTTCTGCTGACGTGCTCCTGGTACAGGCGTTGAGAGTAGTGAGCCATATCAACGCCCCTATATATGACGCGATTTCCAACGAGGCAGATGGCGTCAGCAGATAGACACCGACACTGCTAGCACACTGTTACACATTGTATTCGACCCACAGCACTGGCCCTTTCGGTGATTCTAGTTCTGGACCAGGCCAGAGACGAAGGAACCGCGGAGACATTTTTATGTCCGGTCCAGTATGTGTATCCAACTCTACTGCTATTACCTTCACGTACGGACTTCTGTATCCTATCATAACTCCACCAATCCCGATTCTGGCCCCTCTGATATCGCGATTAACGCCTCACAGCACGCTCTCATACTTGTCAATATGGACCGTACGATCGACGCCCCTTCCCGAGTTGGAGAGACTGGATCATCTCAGCGCAAGGGTTGAAAGACGTGTCCCAGCTTTCAAAACCACCCGGTTCAACTGGAGAATTTTCAGAATGCATCCGAGCAGGATAGAGCTCATCTAGTTGAGTCTAGCAGCGACAAATTTATGCGAAAGGGTCAAGATTTAGTAAAGAGAACAGCAAGGCAGAGCAACCAGCAAGGTTGCACACTGGCTATTGAGCATCAACGCTATCTAGTATGATGGCAATCCGGCGTGGGATGATAAGTCTGGGATAGATTCAACAGTTTTTGAACAGCGATGGCGCCAAGGTGATATTAAAAGGTTCGGTATTAGCTCAATACCTAACATTCCAAAATAGAGTGGCGCAAACACCGGTGACTACTCGATTCTACCATTAAGTTTACATCGATCATTTGATATTTCGCTTTAACCTCCTTCTCTTAGCAGTGCCCTTTCCAGTCAAGTGTCTAATCAGTTTGGACCAGTTCTGTTGGCCGTTGCATAAAGCTCCAAGATCCAGCTAGTTACGGGACCATTCTGTAGACTCCCCAGTCACTTTGGCGGTAATCATTGATGCTGGCGCTGTACGTACGGGAGGCAAACACGCAATTGGAAAATTAGTTCACTTTCTCAATCCCAGATCATCGAAACCTACAGGTCTCGAAATAAGCTCAATGAGGCAAGTGACTATTTGCAATAGAAGCCGGAATCCAAGACGCGAGATTCTTAGTGAATCTCGTGAGCGACCGGTCCTCCGGGATAGACTGCCCGAGCCATCTCCTGAGTTGCTCCTGTGCGGAATGGCAGTTATTATTGCGTGAATCATACTTGATCTCTCGCGTATACACCTCCAAGAAGTTGCGCGCTTCGTCAACGGTGCAGATTCTACTGACAGCTTCGCCACAAAGCTGCTTTGTCCATTTCATACCGGCCATAGTTATCACTTGGTGGCCGTCAAGAACTTCGTCGACAAGAACTTCAACTTCTTGGAAGCCTATTGTCGATTTGCGCGAGTCAGCTTCGGGAAAGTTACCAACAAGAGCACCAAGAGACTTCACCGTAAGTCTCCTTTATACTTAGAGAAGGTCATCAATAAATAATAGTAAACCATACCAACAGCCTCATTGCCAACTAGTCTTTCAATAAGAAAGTACCTGCCATCGCGGGTAAGGAGAAGCAGCCCCGAATGTGCAAGGATATCTCGCCCGAACAACATTCCATCTAGAGCTCGGCGAACGACAAAGGTGCGGTCAATTTGCTATTTGAGGGTGTCAGCATGGTCACCCAGCAGACGAGCGGGTTGGATCGGAGTAGTACATTTCCAGCCATTATACCTATGCCTATAACCTGAGGAGTCGTGTTTGCTACAGATAGTAGTGCTCCGGGTGGCACAACCATGAAAGTATCAGCCGTTGACCACCAGGATTACCCCTCTTTTCTAGGTAATTGTGGAAATGCAATGCACTATGGCTGTGGAGCACGTGGCTATATATTTGGCTTGTTTAGGCAGCCCTTGATGGACATAAGAGCTTTAGATTGCGAATATGCAATTACCTCTCCCTAATGCAGTACAACATTGAGACTAGGAATCTGAATTTATCGTAACTATCGCAGAGCGCTTGCTACAGTGATCTGACTGACGGTCAGGTGAGTCGAAGCGGGGTTGCCCAAGAAGAAGCTGGGCGCTTAGCTATAAACCGGGACACGCTGAAGGAGCTACATTCTCTTTCCGTCATCTTTCCCGAGCTTGCTCTTCAACACTCACACCATAATGAACGACTGTACCTCTCACCAGCCGGCCGCTTGTGCAGAAGGCTTTGGGGTTAGCGATCCTTCCAGCTACCAAGGCGCGCCAGTCCACAGTGCTGTACCGGCTACAGAGGAAGAATGGAAAGCCCTCTTAAAGAACAACACCTCTTGTTTGAAGGGGATTATCGTCTCGCGACAGGGGGGTGTTCCAGAGATGGCTCAGTATACGGGTCTGTCCATCACCAGTTGCAGTTCGTGGGGCACCTTCTAACGCCAGTTAAATCCTTTAGCTTTCGAATTCAATTACGGCGCCAAGGGACCCCAACACGTCCAGGACGAGAAGACCGAGATCCAAACTATAAGGATTGAGAGCGAGAGCGAATGTCAGAGTATTCATATGGGCATCTCTCAACAAGAGCTGGAGGTTTTTATGTAGTGCCTCTACATCACTGTGGATGGAATTGCCTCTGACTTGATGCATAGGAAGACCATTGCTGCAGACGGTAGGCTGGACTTTCGGGCTCGACACGCATCTTTCAATCAACATAAGCAGTCATCCAAGACGCAGAAGCTAGAAATCTCACACCGGGTTAGTATAGCGCGTATTGAGTTCACAGCAAGCGACCTCTAACATTTATCACTCGCCAGCATCCAAAATTCATTCTTTTCTTGGATCAAAGGTCCCTGGCGATAACTGAACACTGCAAGTCTCAGCTTACGTCTCTCAAGGGATCTGACGACAAGAGACAAGCTCTAGCATTTTTAGAAGACTTCGGTACGCCAAAATGGAACTTCTTTATAGCCGCTAGATGAAAACTAACTTCTTAAGGCGAGGGATTTGCAATGCAGGCCACTATTGGTGGCCGTCTTTTCCACAGTGAAAACGTCAGCATGTTAAAAGGCAACACTCTAGAACAGAGAGAAAACAGTTTAAAAATTGCGGCCAAGGCATCGTTGTCCTCCAAAGATTCATTGTCTAAGGGGGCTTCAATTACCTCGGGGACACAAACACTTCACACAGACCGCTCCCAGATTAGATCCGTATCTGAAGGCATGTTTTGGTGCGGTGTTGGGGGTGACCCATGTCTATACGAGGAGTAAGTCTTCTAACCAGCTCAATTACGGGCATTTGAGAATAAGGTCTAATTTCCTACGTTCATGAACTTAGCCCTAGAGCGTGGATGCTTTCCATGAAAGAAGATAAATCCAGATGGAAAATCATTGAGGTATGTTGGTGGCCATTATGATAACGCGGACACATTAATAAGCCAGGACAGAAGAGGCACATCGTATCACTCCCAGTGGCCTTGGGGAGATTCAGTGGCTTTGAATGGGTCCCAGAGAAATTTGAACAACTACTAAAACCCGCGGTCCCGAGTGTGCCTCGCCTGGCCCTACCCGATGATTCACATATTGGCCTATCATCTTTTGCGATCACTAGCCGATTAACAATCTACAACAACAAGGATTGGCGTGTGGTCGCGTTTCAGGATGAGGCAGGATGTATCAAATATGGCTTTATTAACACATCAGAGGATCGATCTATGACAGATGTTCTCTTTGTAGACGCAATTGCCCGTGCACGTCTCAACACCCCTCTCCTTATATGCCCCAGGACCCTACGTAACAGACTCAGGATTATATATGTGACCGAGGACGGATTCCTGGCAGACCAAGTCTTGCATGAAGGCACTGGTGCCTGGGATTATGGGCCTCTCATTGACCATCGACTTGAAGTCGCCCCCCACTCAAATCTCGCCAGTTCTGCAGAAGATGGATATACAGAAGATGGACTTTCCGTTTGCTTCGAAGACTCGAAGGGGAATCTGTGCCTTGTTAATCCAGATAAAGGTACAGAGTGTCTGAATCACGGCAGGGACCTCAATTTCCTGCCAGGAACAGCTCTGACAATCAGAAGCTGGGAGAGTTACACAGGGCCACTTGGCTTGGGACCTGTCAATAATCATCTGGCGGTTGGTTTCCAAGACCGAGATGGGAGACTGATGTCGCTCCAGAGACAGACGGGAGTAAGCGGCTGTACCAACTGGATTTTATCACAAATCGTCCCCCCATCTGTCTCGGAGGGTCTTCCCTTCAAGCCATGGACTCGAAGCAACTGCCTGTTCTCGCTTCGCCCAGGTTCTCCGCCACAAATCGAGCACGTTCTCTTTCCTGATGCATTAAACCAAATAGTGTGCCATGCTCGCGACAACACTGGGTGTTTGGTCAGACATTCGAATCCAGTCTGTATGATCTGGGAAAGGTCTCGATATGCATATAAGGATCGAGCCTTGGTATACATGTCGTTAAATGGGCAGGTCGAATGCACAGAACTGCATGGGGATCCTCTCACCACAAGAACACGGGCTATCTTCCAACTTCGGTGCCTAAAACGACACCATTCTCAGTTTCATCGTACGTTGGGTGAAATACATTGGTAGAGACGGCTGACTTTAGCTCTTAGTCAACTACAAAAATTTTTTCCTGATATTGATAACTAAACTAATGCTCTGCAACTCTAAACTAAGGACTGGCGTGCAAAAGGCACTTGATCATGCCCTTGAAATTATGTCACAATTACTCAGGGAGCTATTTGAGAAACTATTCAACTGCTGCCCAGGCTTGACCGACCTAGCTGTTAAACTTAACCTCTGTGACGGCGATCGGTGCTTAGAAGAATGTGAACATGGTCGTCAAGATACCCAACATAATTCAATTACTGCCTCTTCTAAAAAAAGTCAGAATTAGTTCGCCTTTGGACCTTGTTGATCACCAGGCCGGACTCATGAGTCTTAGGTTTAAAGCTCGGGTAGCACTAAATAATTTTCGCTTTTTCCTTCCTCTGTTTTCTAATCTTCTCTACAAAAGGAGGGCCTGGTAGAGGCATGTCACACGCCTGAACCTAACACTAGGGCTGATCGGTGCAACATCAGATGTTGCTCAGATCTGTGGAGTTGGGTTTATTCAGAACCTACATGGCGGTGGTTGACTAGAAGGGAAGCGGTTACACCCCAGCAATTCCTTACATTTCCAGTTTTTTGTCTCCATGCACCAAGCTGAAGAAGATCAGTGGTGCCCGTGCACAGAAAGCAGGATCATAAGGAAATGGCGAAGATCTTCAGGAACGTGGAATGGTTCAATGCCAACTGCGGGGAGAAGATGTCTCCATGCACCAGAATGAACATTATCGATGCTATGGACGAAGTATCTAGCTACTTGAGAAAGACGCCATTGAATCAGAATATCTCCTGGATTATGCGCGCACAGGGGGTTAAGCTGGAATTTAACACGGCGTCTGTGGACTTGAAACTTGTAGAATACTATTCTAGTAGCTCTGCTAGACTTTATACCACTAGATCACTTCTATTTCTAGTTACCATGATACCCATGTGCTTATTGCTTGGCTCCACACTCTTGGACTCTGACGGCCCCCAAAGCCGACCGTGCGAATCCGAAAGTACCCTAGATGAAGAATGGCACGATCTTACTATTGGTAAGCTTAATATGCAGGAGCTGGCACGCCTAACGTGTCATCAGTTAGTGGTTTCAAATGCAGCAGTCTCATGACCTATCCAAAGTCAAATCCGTCCATGTCGTCATAACCCCGTCTTACTTATAAGAAGCTCCCACCCCCTACCTTACCCAATATCCATCAACCCAAGTGTCAATTTCCATTATTCTCTATACTGAAAACCTACAACTGTAATTGACACAATGAGCGAATATCCGACCGCGTTCCGCGCAGCTCAAGTCCTAGGCTTGACAGGCGCCGCCTGGCTCTCAGGTCCTTCCCCCATCCGCAAAACACAAATAGCCAGAAACTGACAGAAACAGGCAATATGTTCGCCCTAAGCCTTATCACCACCCCGGCCCTCGTCCAATCCCTCCACGAAAAACAAGTCACCCCGTCCACCGCTGCCAAATTATGGGCCAACATCTACAATACCGGCAAGTTGCAGAACCCGCCCATCGCGGCCGCGACCGCCGCAGTCTTGTTCTACCTGGCCTGGGCTGTCCGTGATGGAACGGCATTGTCGCTGTTGGTGGGGCCGAATAGTAGTTTGTTGTATGCTGCTTCGGGGGCGTTGACCGTGGGTATTGTTCCGTTTACGCTTACGTTTATGATGGGGACGAATCGGGAGCTGGAGGCAAAGGTGGGGTCCAAGGATGAGATTGAGGCGACGAGGACGGAGGTCGAGTCGCTTTTGGAGAGATCGGGGGTGCTGAATGCTGTGAGGGGAGGGTTGCCTCTGGTTGGGGCGGTGGCTGCGGCGCTTGCTGCGATTGCTTGATTTCAGTCTGCTCGTATATTATTAGGAGCGGAGGTCTGTTATGCTAAGCATTGAGTTTTGTCAAATGGCGCTCGTGGCGTTGTCATGTTGTTTATTCCATGTGATAAAATTATCAGATTTCTCTTCTCTTTCCGCACTAGGCAATTTTTTTTTGTGAATTAATGAGAAAGAAACATGTCCCTCGATGGAACATGTTGGAACGGGGATTCCCAGTCATCATCAATGCCGCGGTTTTCATCCTAACCCCCCAGACACGGAGTGAACCTCTAAATCCTTCTGCTTATGACCTCCCCGACTGTCTTTGTCGCTGGCTGCAGGGGATGAGGTCCCTCTCGCGGTGTCGCGAAGATGAAGATGAGCCGTCTTCCGCTTAAACTTCTTTGTCTACCTCCCTCGACGGAGATGGCGAGTGGGTTGTCCTCTATCTCAGCACAGAGATAGTCAGGGTAATCCCGGCTTGGACTGGCGGCTCAGGGGCTGCAGCCCGGCGCGCATTGGCAGAGGCACTTGATTGCAGTCATTCTTCAAGCGCTCGCAGCGCTTGCGCTTCTGGTTTTGCACGCGGCAAAAGAGCCCTTGTGCTGCTTTCCGCAGAAAAAGTCGCTCACACTATCAACGGGGCCTTCAACAACGCTTTAGCTCTGTCATTACGCCCGGGCCGTCCCACTCCCGTTGCCCGGACGCCTACGAGCAGTTGCGCCTTTACAATTGGTCTTTTCGGGGGGTTTTCATGTCTTTTCGGAGTAATGGGGAGAGCCCATCTCAAGGCTTCCAAGGCATCTTCTTGAGGCTGCAGGTTGACCGGATTACACGCCTTGCGACGAATTGTTAGTGTGTGGATGTGTGGATGGGTAGCTACTCGTGAGTCATGTGTAGGCAGCAAGCCAGAACCTCAATGCCACACTCGGAGTGGAACTGATAATAAACGGGCTGTATTGGTCTTGGGGGGGTTTCAATGCAGGAATCTCGGCCAGTCTCCCATTAGGCCGTCGGAAAACTGAGATGCGGGCCTTTTTCCGCAGCATCGGGGGATTTGCCAGCCTAAGCTCAGGTACCCACAGCGAGCACCACCCCTGTTTTGTCGCTGTATCTACAGTGTTCGAGGATGTGTGGTTGATTCTGAAATCACTAGCACTCTAAAATACATCGCTTAACCCAGGCAACGTTCTCGGGGGTCGGGACTTATACTTGCCGACCGCCGCCATCTTGAGATTGATACGGACCACTACAAGCCCCACACCAGGTGCTTCCGCCCACTCATTCATGTTGGTTGCAAGCAGATGCGTGCATGAGTACATGCTGGTATGTAGTAACTTTGGTAGCTCCTAATGGCCGTACAGTCAGTGACCAGGCTGAAGCGCCGTCTTGCCGTGCCTACTGCTGCTTATCCACACTGAGTGATCCCATTTTACGTCAGGAGATAGTGATCCATTTGACTATTTACATGGTCACTCTCCCGCACTACAGGCACTGCAACCAAAACACGCAAAGATAAATAGAGCCCACAGTCTGAGACAATGGCAGCGCCACCGCCCTCGTACACCAAGGTCACTCACTCTGCCACATATGCTGGCATCGATCCAACTCAGCCCGGCCTCTCCACTGCGGGCAAGGTTGTGGTGATCACTGGCGCATCTGGGGGCATTGGCCAGGCCACAGCCTCATCCTTTGCTGCGTCGGGTCCACGAGCCCTTATCCTTCTCGGTCGACGCGCCGACGCCCTGGCGGAAACCGCGAGGATTGTTCGCGCCAGCCACGCAGATGTGACGATTCAAACTCACACGGCTGAGCTGTGCGACGCTTCGAGCGTACGTAATGCCATGAACAAAGTGGCTGCCGAGTTCGGCGGCATCGACATCCTCGTCCATTGTGCCGGCGTCCTGGCCCCCGTTGTTCCCCTTCTGGAGGCCGATCCAGCTGCTTTCCTGGACGGTTACAAGACTACCGTTGTCGGTACGCTGGTGACGGCACAGGCCGTCGTCCTGGCAAACAAGACAGTCACAGCCAAGGAGGACAAGGCAGTCACCTTTATCAATCTAACCACGGCCGGCATCCTGTTCCCCCCTTTCCCCGGCATGGGCGCCTACGTGAGCAGCAAGATGGCCGCCGTCAAGCTCTTAGAGGCCTTTGCCGCCGAGAACCCGCAAGTTCGTCTTCACAATGTGCATCCCGGCCTCCTCAAAACGGCCATGTCTGCCAAGCTGGCCGAGACGATCAAATTGCCATATGCGTATGATGACAGTAAGTATAAACTGGTCCTGTCCTTTGTGCCAGTCTGTCTCTGTATCCAAGTAGCTAACGATCGTTCTTTCTTTTTTTCCTTTCGCAGTCTCGCTTCCCGCCGATTTCCTTGTCTGGATTGCCTCCCCTGAAGCCGAGTTTCTCAAAAATAAGCTCGTCTTTGCCTCTTGGGACGTTGATGAGCTCAAGGGTCGCAAGAAGGAGATTGTCGGTGGCCCTCCCGGAACTGGTGAGCTCTGGCTCGGCTACCACGGATTCCCACGATTTATGGCTGGCCAGCCTTTGCCAGGCACCCAGTAGACGACCGGTAGTCACCATCTCAGACTGAAGGGACTGTGCATGCGCGCGTCAAATAGCTATCTGTCAATGAATCAGTTGCTCACATAATATAGCTGGAGTATTTGATCTATCTTTTAGACCCCCGCTGGTAGAAGAATCCTTTCATAATTGCCTCCATGCACTAAGAATATGAAAGGAGGATTACTGCCAGGGCCTTTCAGAGCACAACAGCTTTCTAGGCTGAGTCACAAGGTAGACATCCAGAGGTATCATCCAGGGGACGAAAACCAACAGAAACTAGAAAATAAACAGTGTTTATTGGACGCGGACGGGTAAAGTCTAACCTGCAGTAGCTTTGCGGGTGAACCGTGGTACTGGGACCATCAGACCAATCAGAAGCGCCTTTCTATGCGGCGAGCTCTTTTTGGACGTGGATACACAGAAAGTTGACACTTCCACCTTTAGTGCTTATTCTTACTTGTTTGTCCTTGGCCAGCCCCTAGACCTGCATTTGCCTAATGTAGGCAAGGACGTGGCTCTTCGGAAGACAAGGATTCTCGTTATATTGTGTCAGGCTATCTATTCTTCTTCCCAATAGAGAGCAAGCTCGTAGCGCTTACGCCAAGTCATCACTATTGAGATAACCCTGAGCCAGTTGATAATAGTAGAGACTGGTGGGGGTTGGCAGCCCGTGCATTCACTCATATATTCGAGTGCTATTTATTCTCACATTCTTCCCCAAGAAGCATCTCAACTCAAATAGTCAGACTGCGGGCAGGATCATAGTCAGATTGCTTTGAGCCAAGCCAAGAACAAAGTGAGGGCGGATAGAGGTCTAAATCCTTCCAAGCAGACACCAGATTAGCCACAAATCATATTCACCCTGCTCTGCGGGCGTCTCCTAATACTACCTTATGTACAAGTTCAGACAGGAGTTATCTTACGCGCTTGGCATCCAACGCAATCCCCCGCCCCCGCGATCCACCCCGGTTGGATCTGGACCTCCCCCAAGGCTGAAGCCGTCACTACTTGAGGCCGCCTATCCCACCATGGCATAGATTTCAAAGTTAATAAAAACAGCCACTTCGCGTTTAACTCAGCTTTCTCTCCCAGCTAGACGACCTCTCTCCCACACAAAGTCGAATTCCACAATGTTTGGAACTCTGCGCTACCTGCCCGAGAACAAGACTGGGGAGTTCCTCGAGCGTGAATCAGGGGTGGTGGGAAAAGCGCCGACCAACAAACCTCAGCACTCGGCCTGCGATAATTGCAGGGTAAAAAAGGTATGGATGATTTCTAGTGCTGCCCAAAAAAAAGGTCTTGCTTAATATATTGCAATCACCGCCCCCAAATTCCAAACCAATTAACCGGGGACCATTCATAAACGCGCCCAAATAGATTCGCTGCAGTGGCCGAAGAGCGGGATGTTCGCGGTGCAAGACCCTTTCCCTCCCCTGCAGCTATACCCACGTCCCCACGCGGAAATGCAAGAGGAAGCCAGCGCCCGACTCGCAGAAAAAGGACCGCAATAATGAGAACGAGAGCTGTCTGGGGCCTAGCGCGGCCCCCGGCCGATCTCCCGCAAGGGAGGATGCAGCCACAGCTGTGGTGCAGCCCTCCCTATTGACCATGGAACCACTACCGCATACAGTAGACKAGAATTACATCAGGCTGGACAAGGCAATGCACCGGGTGCAAGGGAACTCCGACTTGGTGCTGGATCCGATGTTGAAGGAGATCTCGACCTGGTCCAGTTGTCTCGACTGGTCTCCAGGAGGGGAGGGCACATACATGCCGGACTCCGACTATCCGATGACAGGGAATCCACACCTCCCCGCCGATCCCTTCCCTGCTGGGTAGGTATACTAAACACCGTACTCTTGTCGGTCCAGAAATAAAATTACTGATGGACGACAGTTACCCTGGGTTGGGAAATACTGTACAGCCGCCGCCGCCCATTGCCCGTGGGTTCACCCTACCGGATCTGCTTCCGACTCCACCGTTGACCCATATCCTTGCCTCCACCGGGAGCGCAAACCGATCAAGTGAGAATACTTGCGAGATTGCTATGGAAGAGCAACCTTCGTGCTCATGCCTGAACTCGGCCGTTTTCCTCCTGGACGAACTGGAGTCGCCCCATGATGACAGGGGCCCCGGCGAGCAAGGGAGTCTCGACTCAATCCTTTCGATTTACCAGGCGGTGCTCCTCCTGTGCAAGCGCATGATCAACTGCGACGCCTGCCCACGGAAGTCGGAGAATATGATGGTGCTCACCATGGTGCTGGAGCGATTGGCCATTCTGTGCGGGGAGGCGATTGACGCTTTTATCGCCCGGAGGGAAGCCAACGGGCCTGGGCCTGTCGCCATGATGGAGAAGCAGCCGTTGGTCCTGGGCGAGTACGAGATCGAGGGGGGAGACTACGAGGTCATGATGGGGATGCTAGTGACACGGCGGCTGTCGGAATTAGAAAGCCTGTTAGCACGCATGAAGATGATCAGCTCCCTCACCCGCCGCGCTCACCAGCAGGCCAGAATGGCGCGCGTGGATCAACATGTTCAGAACTTGTTTCGGAAGCTCGCTTCCGTCTGCCCTCTGGTCTCCGAATGAGCTGGAATGGCACAGGGATGTGGCCGTGCATCTCTGGTGGGTTAAGCTCAATCTCAAGACGCAGGTGCTTCCACGGCCAAATGCGTGTGAAGGTGTAAGGTTGAATAGACAGCCTTGTGCTACGTGGAGAACATTGAACCTAGTCGAGAGTAAAAGTGATAGCATATCATGAACAGACCTAGTCGTTTTTTACGGTATATCCCGTCCATGCAATGCTCTTTCAAGGCAGCTTGTCCAGCCCAGTTCCCCCTTTCATTGCTCGGTCCTACGAGACACATATCAGTAACAAATTCATGTCGAAGAGGAATGAAAAATGGAAGAACACAGTGGCGCTCACTAAAATACCTGTTGGCATATACGTTGACATGAACCTCACCATGGAAGCCATAGCTCCACGCCACACAGGTCCTGAGGCTCCGCCCAAGATATCCTCAACAACCTCGCGAGCAAAGTCTGCCGGCGCGCTCTTATTTGAGACATCCTTCCCGACACCGCGTGCTTGAATCTCGGGGAGTGCTTTTTGGTAAAGTGAGTTTTCGGGCAGGGTCAGGTTCGAATGCGACATGACATTTGTGGCGACGGAGCCAGTGACGAGAGAGATAACCCGGATATTAAAGGGCTGTACTTCCAACCGGAGAGTCTCGCTCCAAGACATCAGAGCGGCCTTTGAGGCGTTGTAGACACCTGGTGCAAACGAATCAGCGGGTAATTCCTTTTTCCCCCTTTTTATCGCACCGGCCTGGGTAGAGAAGCCTTACTCATCCACGGAGCGTACAAGAAGCCCGAGATAGAACAGACGTTCACGAGGGTACTGCCATTCTTGGCAGCCTGCAGCAACGGCATGAACGCCTGGGTGACAGCGAAGACACCCCAGAAATTGACATCAAAAAGACGCTTGGCCTCGTCGATCGAGGTGTCCAGCGCAGGATAGACGAGGGATTGGCCGGCGTTGTTGATGAGGATGTCGAGGGAGTCACCATGCGAAGACAGATCCTGTCGAACTGTATTGACGGCAGCGGCAATGCTGGCGGGGTCGACAACGTCGAGGGTAACAAGAGAAACATTGGGAAGTTTAGCAAGATGGTTCATCTTGGCTGGGGAGCGGGCGGTCGCATAGACTCTCAGCCCTTGGGCGTGGAGTTCCTCCACCAGGGCCGAGCCGATACCGCCGGCGCTGCAGCCGGTGACGAGGGCGCAACGTGGCATTGTTCTTGAAATCACCGGTGAAGAAGGGAGAAAGAGGGAACAAAGATGCAAGGGAGAAGCGGATGGGAGAAGGGAGTGGAAAAGAAAATATTGGACTTTTGGGTTTTCCTTTCGTTCTTTTTTGCTTGCCTTTTCCCTCCTCCCCAACCGCTAGGAAGGGAAAGTTCCGGAGTCGACTAGGAAAGGTAGCTAGCGAGCCCAGTAGCTAGTAACTGGCCGGCTTTGCTGCCAGGTAGAATGTACTCTCAAAACCAACAAGGGTCTCTTTTATTCTCATAGATGCTAGGCGAATTCGGAACTTTCCTTGTAGGGTCAGCCCGAGAGACTCTGGTGAGAGCAGCCCAAGACAAATCCGCTCCCATCGGCGATTTGCCCCTGTTGCGACGAGTGTCTGGGTATGTATGGAAGAGGCATTGCAGCGAGTGGAAGATTCTTTCACTCGGGGGAAATTGGGATGGAAAAGGCACCGGTGATGATAGCGGCCTTCCCCTCCAGTCGGGGGAGATCGTACAGAAACACTGAGAGAAGTCATGTGTTCGTGTCGCTTCTGCCTGCGTGCTTGGTGTAAGAGATGGTGATTGAGATCTCATGCTCTACAAACACAGCCGGCCTGGCTTCGGACATAAAATATCATTCGATTTGTCTCATCTCGTTCGCGGATATTCTTTCTCCTCGACTGACAGCGTCGACATGCCAACAGTGGTTAGTCGCCATTACGACGATTGCGGGAATTACCCGATAAGGCTAAGGGTGGGGATTGTTCCCCACCAGGCTTCTACACTATGTCCTTAGTACTGTACTTGGCTAGATAGTACCTCAACGTGAAAGGGACATTATGTCTGAACATTCTAGTCTACTCTCCGCTAATCATTGTTCCGTACCGGACTAGTAGGTAAGCTAGATATTGTATCACCGATCGGCTGCCATTCGGCCACCGGTGACACCCGTAGCCATCCATCCACAACCGTTCCCACCCATTGTATCCGACTATGAAAGGAGGCTGACCCAGGGTTCTGCCAAGAACTCTGAAAGAAGAGGGTATGTAATAGGTCGCTTTCTGAAATCGCACCAGGCTAGCCAGATGACTCCTTTTCTAGATTAAGATCTAATTCTTGATCCAGAAGCTGTATCTCACTCAGGAGCTCAGAAGCGCGAGTGGTGGGCGGGCGACGAAGGTGAGAATTCATAGTCATAATTCAATCTAAGTACCTGTACCAGGGGCACCTTTATATATAAATTTGCTGGTTTTCGTCACGAATGCTCCTGCTTCCGGCAAATCTGACCGCTTCCTCGATGCATGTAAACTAGGTAGTATCTTTTGTCAAAAATACCGAGTTTCTAAAGCTCACCTACCTACATTCCACACAATCTCCATCTCACGTACACCATGGAACCCGACGATGCCTTCCTCGACGCCTTTCTCGACGCGTGCTTCGCCGGTGAACTGTCAAAGACCCAGGAAGCCCTCGCCAGCGGGCGACTAACCACCGACGACCTCAACGAGGGACTCGCTCTCGCGACCCACATGGCGCACCCTGAAGTCGTGGCTGCGCTCTTCGACGCTGGCGCTACTGTGTCACCCTGGACAGTGGATGCTCTTCCTGGAGGGGACGAGGTGCCGCAGCACCCGAGCGTTGTTCGCCACTTTCTCGACCATGGCCTTGATCCCAACTCGAGGTGTTCTAACGGCGAGCCTGTCCTATCGTATGTGTCAGCCTTGTTAGCCAAAGTATTCCGGTACCAGGACTAACTCCTGGTAATAGCCTTCTGCATAATCCAGCATGTGCTCGTGAATTGCTCTTACGAGGCGCTGACCCCAACCTTACCAACCCAAGGGGAATAACCCCCCTCGTCCGCGCCATTGCGGGTGCCCGTGAAGAAGACACATCCCTGCCTGAGCTGCTTCTCGCACATGGGGCCAAGCTAGAATCAGATCTCCTCTTTACCGCCCTACGTCCACGCGTGCGCCAAGGAGAGCTCATGACTAGATTTCTTCTAGCCAAGGGTCTTGATCCGAACACGACGTCCGCGGAATGGGGCACTCCCCTGCACCGTGCTATCCACTCTTGCAAGCCAAATCTTGTTAAACTTCTGCTGGAGGCTGGCGCAGACCCCACAGCACGGCCAGCTTGCACGCAATTCCGTGGCAAAACCCCCTTGCAAGTAGCTGAGACCTTGCCACATCCCAATGCCCGCCAGGCTATACTTAGCCTCCTTCAGTCTTGGCAAGCCCACGGTTCAGTATGTACCTAATGACATATGGATGGTGCAAATGATTAGCTGTAACTGAAATGGGCTAAACCCGCTTGCCATATAGTCTTACCTGCACACTCCCGTTCCACATCTCMTTAGTCATTCCCTGCCTGCTAATTACTTCTATTAGTGTTTTGCTTGTTCCCCTACTTCTCTTCTCTGGGCTTTTCATACACAGCTCGTGGCCCATTAGCCTTTCACATTAACATGTTAACACTTAGTATGCTTCGGCATCTCCAAGCAGCGTACGGAGTAGCTCTTAACATCATACACCACTGACCAGTCTTCGCTCTTCACCGCTGTTCCACCAACTGTAAGTGACAGAAGTAATGGAGGGATGAATGGCTTACTAAGGTCTATACGAACGAGGACCTACAGGACTGTAGAGAGACCGCTAAGGACTAGAAAGGACTAGAAAAAGGACCGCGAAAAGACGCCACTATCGAAAGATCCACTGTGCACGCCCAGTAAAGACAAGAATACTCTTCTTATCGTAGAATTTGTAGTGTAAGAGATAATGTCTAAACCCGGGAAGTGGAGAAATAATCTTAGCGATCGACGCCAATTTTTAACACGAAAAAGTGATATTAAGAAGTTTAATGAAATTGACTTGGTGAAAAAAAGTATAAATATATATATAACGTAATATGTATTCCCCTGATATTCAGACTTAAATCTTGCCACTCATAAAGCCCTCTATTTGAGTCCTAAAGAGTTACGCATTACGTGTACTGAGCAATTTAAATAGTCCTGGTCTCTGACTACAAATTTATTTTATATATTTTTAGGAGTGATAATCTGACTCTGGCAAGTTGATATAGCTTTTCACAACTATAGTGGACCGCGATGCGGTTCCAGACTCCCAGCTAACATGGAAAAGATCCAGGCCCGGCGGTACCCGTCCCTCACCTAAACGTTGGGACCAAAGGCCGGACCCCTGCCGAGACCTAGTTGATATTGATCCTTCTTTCTCATTTACAAGGAAGCTAGTGCTAGCTTTTTATTGTCAGCTTTGACTATTTAGTTGTTATGTTATACACACATCCATGCCAAGATAATGCTTGATGGAGCCTAAGGCTTTTCTACCAAACTCACTTTTAGGGTCATTATGAATTAGGCATTATCCTAGAGCCCAAGCATCTTATAGCTGATCTTATAATCTCATAATGCTTACAGGACAATATACCTGGATTATGCGGTCAGTACTGGAAACCTTAAGGGAGAGGTCCATAACTAAAGACTCTTCTGCAAATGGATTCTGTGGATATGCAGTTACCGCATTTGACTTGTACACCAGTTAGAGCCGTTTGTAATCAGTCTGATGTTACTTCAGAAAGCGACAGCAAAATGTTGTCAAACAGAGGATGCTGAAAAATTTGGTATCAAAAATGGCCTTGGCTTAAGTCACAGAGGGGAAATTCTTTTTGCTATTCAGCCATCCTATAGTCCGTCTGCACATGGACAGTCTTCATGATTCCTAAAGGAATGCTGTCCTTTTCTGGAGCTAACAGAGCTGCTGCACTGACATGTGCCTCACTCTTGGCATTTATAGGGTAGTAGTCCTGCTTTCCACCATCTTCGCTGGGGAGAGGCCGTCCCTTAGACCCCGAAATGTTCTGGCTAGCCCATCTGGAACCTGATCTGGGCAAAGATGGCCCAGACTGGGACCTCCCCTGGCCCCGAATAAATTTCACAAAGCCTGGCAACAATGGAATGGCGCCGGAGAGAATGACAGTACAAATCTCGCCAATTCTGGGGTGACGGTTCCACCGTTAGCGAACATTTATTTGTATACGTAAAGGAACAATTGATGCCACTCACGCCCATAACCCAATCGGGGCAATTCCCCAGGTGAAGTCTTCGGTTCGTGTCAGATAGACTCCATACACTAGGCGGCCTGTGCTCGATATGCAGGCTCTGGTCATTTGTCAGCTCAGTCAATATTAACCGACAAGACGTGCGGATCATACAAGATGCCTGTCCCAAATACCACGCTCAGAATCACTTTACTCCTGGGAGGAAGCTGAAGCCGCATAATAACCACCAAAGGGAGCAACAACATGGTTAAATCTGAAAGCACATTCAGAGTTGACGAAGCAATGAGGATGCCAGTGGATGAGACGCATTGTCCCGGCAGCGTAGGGTTCCAGAGCTTCTTGCGAGGGACGCAGGCAAAAGCAAAGCTCACCATCAGGGCAAGGTAGCATGGGACATTTGTCCAGAGAAGGATTTCATGCAACCAGTACAGCTTGCCCCTTTTGTTGACCACGAACAGCCGCCTCATTTGCAAAAGCATCGCAACTTTGGCACCTAAGATGACCGGACAGTATATGATTTCAATGATATTCGCGAGCTGCATGTCAAGCGATCAATCAGTCAGTATAAAGCTTGTAAGGAATGTAAAGAACTTAAAGCAGTTTCATGCTCACAGACCTCAATGACCTTCTGTAGATGGGCTACCGATACGTTCCACTGGTGGGTTCCCTGTCCCAGGTGAACTGCATGAATCATCAACCCTGTGAAGGCGTAAAATCCGATTTGAGACATTATCAGAATGTATTCCTCCAGTTGCATGAGTCGCATCACTCGGGCTTTAATGAAGACCCGCAGGAGAACAGCGGCTGTTGACAGACCCAGACCCAGGCCAGCTGTGATGTACATGTAGTGTCGGAGAGAGTAAGGGTCCTCGAGATTGCTGACCTGTCCCGGAGGCGGCTCGAGGGCCGGGACAGTATTCAAATCGATGTTCGCCCCTTCAGCCATGCTTGGCCGTTAGTGCTCCCTTGATACTGCAGTTAGTATTGTTCTATGTACAGTTACTGTAGGAGGAGTGTGACAACGATTTCTTGAACCAAGTCAGGACAGAACTGGGCAAAATAGTCATTTTGTACCCCATAGGATCATCTTTCCCCTTAAAGGTTGGATCCTCAACAACTCGAGTGGCGTAAAATAAACCACGGTTGAGCTCGATTCCACTGGACAGTCAGAGATCCGAGCAAGCACTAATGAAACTAAGTAGGTTTAATACGAGGCGTCTCATTTTAACTAAGCACTTCAGTGGCCGGAATGTACCGACAGAGTTAAGCTCTCCCCGCACAAAGTTTAAGGTAGTAATGAGTTGCATTGCATTTGCTGGATTCAGCCAGGCTTGTCAATTAGGTTTAATGCACATCACACCTAGGTCGAAGTCTACTCCAGGCCAGCCCCTTAGTTTAGCGCCTCAGATTGCCACAATGGAAGTCCACTAACTCATCTGCATCCTCAGCTATAGAAGGGAGGCTAAAAAAAAGCTGTAAAATTCGATGTTAAAAGTTTTATATTTCATATTTGGTCTCCCGCGTGTATGGGCCTTCATACCTTACCTTGTGGGCTCTTCAGTGGCCGTACCGTGGGACTCGGAAGGCTTTTGTTGAACGGACGCTGCATCTGCGGGTCCTCATTCTCATTGGCTGGCTGTGACCATGGCACGTGCCCGGTCTCCCTTTTAGGACAACTAGGGCAAGAGCATTGACGATAACTTCACGCTTGCACCATCGGAATGACAGTGAACTTTATTTGGACGAGACTCGCGCCAGTTATTGCATGTCGCGCAAATGAAGTGCCATCGTTCTGTCGGCATTGGCCCACATTTGAGTTAGTGTGGACGCAGTGACTGTCAATCGGGACAGATGCGTCGCACGAAGTCAAGGAATTCGGTCTGTTCCAGACCAATGAGATTGCGGTGGACTGGTCCACGCTATTTAGTGAGGTATGGACCATGCGGTTCGGTGAAGGGCGACTCGGAGGCGGTGGTCGTGTTACATCCAGTCCCAGGTTGCAGCTGTACGGTCTCGGTTTGCTGTGTTTCCCGTGTTCATGTAGCTGGTTGAACGAATCTATGATCACTTCTAGCTGTTCTGAAAACAAGGGGAGTTGACTGTGAATATAGAGGTGTTAGGATTAGCTAACAGGAGGCATTATATACAGATCTTCACCCTGTTATACTTTGATCCTATTGACTTCTCCTATTCTCTGATATCTGAGATATAAGCGTAATCCAAGCAATCCTGTCGAACAGCTCCCTTCACCAAGCTACACTGCTGCTCGCGCCGTTCTGCTTGCAGTAATATTCCAACTCATCTCCTCCAATGTGCTGTCCCGCGCTCTGGCAATAAAACAGGATGTCATGATCGCTCTTGGGTGTACAGTCCGGGCATTTATCCCACTGTGCATCTCCCGTGTTGCGCTTCTTATATGCCGCGCATGCCTTTTCAGTTGCTTGTTTGTTATAAACAGTCTATCCATTGTGAGTTAGATTACCCTGGACAATCAAATAGATCGGGATGCAACGTACCACACCCTTGGCAGGATTGTCAACACAGATACCAGTGTAGTGTAAGTCCGCGAAAACACTTCTAGCTGTTAGTACGGCCTCACTCACAAAGGACATGGCGCAACTGACCTAGCGGCTAGGGTAGCAACAACGAGAGAGATAGAGACCTTCATGGTTGACGGGTATATCAGATAAGAAAAGCTTGTGAAGAAGTGTATAGGACTGAGAATGTGGATTGTCTTCTAGGACTTCCTTTCCTCAGGCAAAGTCGGGAGGTACTTAAAGGCCAGCGGAGAGAATCAGGAGCATCAACAGTACGCACAATCCTCGACAAAGTCCTCTGGACCTCGTGATGGTAAAGTCGCATGAATTGATGAGCGCCGAAGATTCCCCGTACGGCTTCAGCGAGTACTGAGACAATTTCGCCTAGACGTCTAATAATGGAGACTTGATGGTATGATAGAACCTTGGCCGATTGGACGCGACAAAGCACTTCATCCTTTATCCAGTGAGTATCAAAGAAGGCAATGCATGGTAGAGGCCTGCAGCGTGGTATCTGTTTCACTCTATGACAGGTAGTGGCTTGGTCCCGATCCTGCGGTTCTTGGCCGTTGAACGGGGTGTATCAATCTCCCGAGTCCATCATCCTATCGGAATCAAATGGCAACATACAACGGGGCGGCCCCATGTGTGATTGACAACGGACCTACACTAAAACGAATGACAAATAACAGTTCCTTGTGGCTGTGTTTCGGCATGAAGCCGCGGGGCGCTCTTATCACTCTTGGCGAATGCCGCAAATCGGACGTTTGGACGTCATGTGGTCGGCATTGAGGTCGGAAGTCGCTCGTCAATAAAGTTCCGACAAGTTCTACCCTCCTGTCGTTGGCAAGGATCTGCGGCCCGCGGCCGTTGTGTCTTTCTGGGCTGAATCACATCCAATGATATTCTCTGATGGGATGATTGACAGGCGCAGGGTCCACAGACGATCTTTTTACACGGAACTCAAAAGGGATCGCGCTGTGTTCATGGCGAGTTATTGTTGGCCAATCTGTTCGTCCAGGCGAGCCTTTTTGCGTATTAAGGGTGAGGATTTGATCCTTCGGCCTTAATACGTCTCAAATGTTCAGCATCGTCGGTGACTCTTCGGGGAATTCCTCTAGCTTGACCATGATAGTCCTGTATAACTCCGAATACTCGATTCACTGTGTGATATACAGTGTCTGTAGGGGATCTGGGCGTACATGTACTGGGACACGGATCTATTAGGACGGCGCATATCTGAGATCACAATCCTCGGCTTCGTGCTATATGAGCCGGTTCTTCCTCCTATCTTTTACATTCTGTCTTTACATTTCCATCCCAAGTCTACAAAAGTTAACTTTTAAGATGTATAAAATGAATCTCCCTTTCGTGATCTTCACAGCCTTGTATGCCAGTAGCGCTCTCGCTGCGGCTCTTCCCACCGACCATGTTGATACCGACAAGGCGATCCTGCTTCTCGCTGATGGGACTACCAAAACCATCGAGAAAACGGACCTCGCCTCTCACCTCAATGGCACCTTGCTCGAGACTCCCACCGACAACTTCCCGCGGTCCCTCAAGTCTGCCAACTTCAACGGCCTGCAGAAGCGGGGAGATCCCCAGATAATTATCCCGCTTCCCGATCAGGAATTTCTCGGCTGGGACATTCCCATGTCCACCATCGTCCACGCCAACCAAGCTGACGCAACCGTCGCCATGGCATCAGGCCAATCGATCGCCAACAGCATCTCGGTCGGAACTTCCTTCACTGCGACTGTCGAGAAATTCCTCCAAGTCGGCGTGACCACGAACTACCAGTACACCAAAACCAGCACCCTCACTGGCACCGTGACCATGACCATCCCCAAGAACAAATGGGGAGCGATAGTGAGCAATCCTTTGACGCACCGCAAAAGAGGCTATGTCTTCACTGGCTCGCCTGGCAGCGGACAGTTTGAGTACTACCAGGCAGATTCGTTTACCGACGAGACTTATACCTATAATGACGCAACGCTGAACTGGGTGAAGGGTGTGGTTACGACTTGTCTGAGCGATACTTATCCAGTCAAGCGCTGCGTTGGAGAGGGTGAACTCAAATAAGCTCTCTTTAGTTTGCAACGCTTCCTAGGAGGTAGGGGTAGGAGACTTGTGATCGAGATCGAAGGAAGCTGTCGAGTCTGGGCGATGTGTTAGCTTTCTGATATGGGACTGAATGTTGATTTTTTCAAACCTGTGATGTTAGTTGTTAGTCTGAATAACTTACATATATATATACGCTTTTGAGTTGGAGATACGGCCGATATGTCTGGATTGGCGCCGAAGAAGTTGACATCACGTTGTTGACCAAACTAATATATCTCTGAGGACCCCGTTGTATGGTTGTAATATCCAGGGCGTGCCACCATTTTCACAAGTACGTATACATGGTTGTCTCAGAGCAACTCGTCGAGGACGGGACATATATTTATATATTATCGGTGAACTTTCCCTATCTTTGAGCAAAGTTTGTACATATACCCCAGCTGTTTAATCATTCAAGTGCTTGGCTGACTTGTTGCAACTATTATTCTTCATGTTAGCTAAAACTTGCCTTTAGGCGAGGCGGTTCTAAAATGCATAGGAATATGGTAGGTTCCAGGCTAATCGGCATTGGGCAGTCTGGTCCTTAGCCATGTAGCGTATTAGTTTCAACTCGACTGCTATGTCATGAGATCATCTTCAATCAGTCATAAGAGAGCATGAGCTTACCTCCGCAAAATGAACTAAGCGATGATTGAGTCCTAAAAAATGATAATGGTAGGCGATGGAGACGATCAAAACCGCTCCATGGGAAATGATGGGAATGTGAATAATGAAAGCGCAAGAAGTCACTAGAGAGCTAAAATAGGTAGATTGCCGTCGACTCAATAACCCCACTACGTATCCTCTTACGTTCATGAAGCCATCGCAGGCTGAGTCTTGGCTGATATTTTCTATTTGCTTCATGATACGTGCGACAACAGCTACCAGTAAATCCACCGTGTAGTAATTGACACCACCATCTATATGGGGGAATGTGCGATTACTGTCCGTTGCCATCTGTTTGTTCAACAGGTCCAGTCCTTGGCGCCGTTCCCACGAACTAAGGCGGCTGCACTGCCCCAGTATGGAAAGCGGGTGAGATTCAAAATCGCCGCCGATCCCATGGGATCCTCGCAGCTCACGGATTCCATCCAGCAGCATTACCCGTCGGGCCCGCCTCTCGCGTAAGGCAGCATGGCCACTCTTCTAATTTCCCTGGGCATTGCGACCGCCGTATTTGCAGTTGTTTGGTTCCTGCGAACGACAAAATCTCCGCCCCAAACGCGACCGCAGCTAGAAGTTCCAACGAATTCGAGTCCTGTAAGCAAGCTCGCAAAGGCACTGCCACACATTGTGCTTTTGCATCGCGATGGAGACGCCTTTCGCAAATCAATAAACACCTACTGGGCCCAACAGGAACGTGAGGTCGTGCAAGCCTGCATAGTCCAGCCACGTGATGTTGGTGAGTTGGCCACGGCCATCGACATCCTTAAACGGGAATATGACGAGCGAAGGACGCTGCCGAGGAGAGAATCTGATGATGTTTTGTTCGCTGTCCGGGGCGGTGGTCAATCTCCTGTACCTGGCGGTGCAAGCGCCAAAGGAGGCGTGTTGATCGACCTCTCTCTGTTTCGGGAAGTGACGGTCTCTGATGACAGAGAAAGCGTAGCCCTGGGAGCAGGGGTCCGTTGGGCTGAAGCATCACGGATACTAGATGAGAAGGGTCTCGCTGTTGTAGGAGGCAGAAGCTCTGATGTCGGAGTGGCTGGGTATACATTGGGGGGTGAGTATAACTGTTTCTGCCTTAACATATTCTCAACTGACCAACTATATAGGCGGTATATCCTTCTTCACACCACGCTTCGGTCTGGCCTGCTCGAATGTCCTAGCCTACGAAGTCGTTCTCGCCTCAGGTAAGGTTGTTACGGCCTCTGCCTCGTCCCATCCCGATCTTTGGCGTGCCCTTAAAGGCGGCTCGAACAATTTCGGCATCGTCACCCGCTTTACAGTGCGCTGCTTCCCGTCCACGCAAATCTGGAGTGGGTTCATGTACGCTCCCAATTCACAGTCCACCAAGGCGCTCGTGGCCTTACATGAGAGTGCAAAACACGCCGATCCCAAAATAAGCGGAGGGTCTGTCGATACCCATGCCGCGGCGCCTATCGCCTGTTTCACCTACGTACAGGGGTTAGGCATGCAGGCAGTCACGGTCCATCTGGCCTACACAAAACCACCGGAAGAACCCAAGAAATGGCCGGTTTACTGGAAGAATTCGGGCTTCGCATCTCTCTGGCGTTTGTGGAGCACCTTTAGAGTCCACACAGTGACGTCCGCTGTGATAGAGATGAGCGGCACCTGTCCCCCAGGCCAAAGATGGTCCTTCGGTACTACGACCATCAAGAACGATTTGCCCACGATGTTAGCTGCACGTGCCGCCCATGAGGAGGCCATCGCCTCCCTGCGGAAGGTGAAGGGGTTAATCTGGACGATTGCCATGCAACCGTTCCTGCCCTCGTGGGCAGCGAAAGGTGACGCAAATGTGCTCGGCATTCATGAGGGAACGGATGATGCGCTCCTCATCCTCAGTTTCTCCGTGTATTGGCAGAGGGCGGGGGATGACAAGCGCGTCTACGCTTCTATACGCGAAACTATTGAGAAAATCGACGCGGTCGCTACAGCCAATGGGACAGACCATCCATTCCGCTACCTGAACTACTGTGCGCAGTGGCAGAGACCGTTGGAAAGATACGGCGAGGAGAATCTACGCTTCCTCACAGAGGTCAGCAGAAAGTATGACCCAGACGGGCTGTTTCAGAGAGGCTGTACAGGAGGTTTCAAGCTGAATCCTCAAATCTAAAACTTTAAGTATGCATTCCCACCTGTGTACTATGTGGCACATTAATAAATTTGAGTCTCAAGAGCTGGCCTCAACACTTTGTCTACCTTGTTAGTGGTCCGCTCCCTAAAGACCTGTCAGCAATTCTTACCGCGCGGAGGAACTAAAGGATTCACAGAGAGTCTCTCGAATTTGACCGATAAGATTTGGCTTGCTTTCATGGTTCATCCGCCGAATTGTGTCCCATTCGCGAATTTTTACTGTATCTTTCCGATTTCGCATTGGTTTGCTGTATATGCTACTATTGAGCAGGTTAGAAGGATCAGATGCTCATCCCTCTGCATTTTGTTTCTATGCATTCAGCATACAATAACAACTCGGGCGGATTATCCAACAAGACCTTATTATTCCTGCTGTCTTAACCAGTGCCAATATAGCGGATTGAGATAAAAATTCAAGATATTTCCTAGGGTATTCACACTCGACAAATCACAGCGTTTCATCCGCGCTCACTGGACATGCCGTTGTACTGGGGCGCCATAGTAAATACAATGAGAGCCTCCGGGCAGTTTGTCTCACTGTAGTTCAAGGGCGGGCTGGACAAGGTTCTGGCCCTTCTTGCAACCCGTCGATGGTCGAGTAAGTACCGCAAAGCAACCCGCCGGATTTTCTAAGTCTCACCAATGCTGCCAGTCGCTCGGTTTCGTCATATCCAACCCTTTTGCGGATTAAGAACTCCCGGCATTCATTCTCTGTAGTTGGCTACGATGCTGTCGCCTATGCCTCCCAGCAGTCATGTACACAGACAGATTCGGAGGAATCTCAGAGATTCCGCATTGGTTAACAGCATCACCTCGTTAATTAGCCGAGAGAAGTTCTGCTCATTGCTTTTGGTTCTTGGCAGTGGTCCGCAGAGGGAGGAAGTTGGACATCGCGATACTGTTATAAATTCAGAAATCGCTAGTATCTGGCGTACGAATGATAAATCAATGAAGCGCTTCTTTCCAATCTAGTATCTAACGAGTGTACATTTATGCTACCGGAATCGTATCTCGGAGGCTAGGAAGAGCGCTGTCTGTCTAGCTCTCTGCGGCGGATAACGCGATAGCAGGAGAAATATCCATCTAATAGGCAGGTATGGCAAATTCCGAACCAAGGTAAGAGGTAGATTACATCTACAGAGAATAGGGTTACGCGAAGATAACAAGACTAATCCTTGTCTTCTCCAGGACAGACAAGGAGGCGATGCCTCAGTATACCTTCATATACCTACTCGTCAGGCTATGAGGATGACAAGGAGATCATAATAGGCGACATCCATACATCCGGAGGATACAAGGTTACAATATAACCCAATCCACATTCACTCGTTACATTCCGCGATTTGTAACATCATTGGACCAAGTGTGTTCTTCTGCAAGCCATCTAAACGCGCCATTCCACGCAGTTTCCAGGGCCTCGGATCCGGATATAATCTGATCAAGAGCTACGCGGGTAACCTTAGTCGTCACTTCGCTATCATTGACCATCATGATGGTGTCGACACAATCAAAGCCAGCTTGGGTCAACGCAGGCCACTTGTCAGCCAGGCTTGCAGGCCCTGAGGAAATCCGATCGTCCTTCAGCTGTATTTTGATATAGTTATCGGTCCGCAAAAAAGGAACACCCCGTGGTCTGTTTCCGGGACATTCATGGCAGCATCAATAACGTCAGACCCAGCCTTTCAAGGCTCGTGACTGGTCAGTGATCCTCCGAGAACGGCCTGAGGCTTGAACGAAACATTCCAAAATTGGCTTCAAAGAAAACATAAAACTCCCCTCTGTAGGGCCCAGGTTTCAGCAGTGGGAGAGCCGAGCCTCTCTAATGCCCGGCCATCCGCCCCTGCTGTGGGACAGATGGTAGATCCGGGCCGTCCGGGCCAGCATCGACAAATGCAAACACTGTTGCAATACCTTAAACCTAAATTCCAGGATCCCAAAGCTGAGATTCTGTTTTCAGTAAGCTTCCAGTCGTCAACCATATGGCACCAGCCATTGTCAAGTCATATTTGGATGTTCAGCTCTCAAAATTGTGTTACGAATTTCCCATTAGTATGTGATTAATCCAGACACGACTAGCCTCTTCCGTAACATTACTGAAGTTATTTGACTTTTCCATCCTCTAATGCAGATGTCATCTCTCCCTCTTATGGTGTTTTACTCCAATTAATGCTAGAAATTAGGCTCCGCGAACTATCATTAAAATTTAGGACTTTGGGTTGATCCAGGCTCTATTTGAATATAGTGAGATCATTACTCTCCACTGTTACATCCATCAGCGTCCAGATTCTACTGATGCTGTCAGATCGGAATATGAACATATGATTGCCTGCCTTAAAACTAAATATGTCCGTCCTCATCCGACTTTATCGGAAAGGCCGGGGTGATGAGATAATGGAGATAATGCTGCAACCTCTGCGGCAATGCACATATAAGAACAGGTAGTGCCCCCTGCCCACAGAATGCCTAAGCCATCCCCCGAACATATCCATCAACTCATCGCCATTTTATATCTTCTATTCAGGTCCTCTTATTATCTGACGCGCAATGCCTTTCTACAGTATTGCAGTGTACCGCGGCAAGGATGGTCGTCATGCTGGAGATGCTGCGTACAATCTCTTAATGTCTCCTAACCGGGAGACAGCAGATCGCTTTTACCGTTTCCTTCAGACATACCCAGATATCTATAACAATAAGTATAACTTTAACAAACTCGAATCTCTATCTGCACAGGTCTGGACGTTCCAGTCCAATGACCAGGACGATCTAAGGGAGCTCGTCAGACACATGTGTTCGCGCGATTTTACGATTAGCGATGCGAGATTCCAATCTATCGTGGGCAGTGTCGTCTTACATCAGTTTAATTCCAACACATGGTTCAATAACACCTATATCCCCATTGTGCAAGACGTTAACTTGGCGGCCCATCTTAATAATGGGGAATTCTTTATCCGGCGCAAGCGGTATCCCAGTCAGTTCTGGTACCTGGACAACAAGTGGATAAGGGTGTCCGACACAGAAAGGACAAAATTTCGCATCGAACTAAAAGAAGATGGCACTCAGACCTTAGGGACGCCTCTTTTCATCAGCTCTGACCAAGTTCGAATTATTGCCGTCGGCTCCTCTTCTACTACCATGATCAAATCGGCTAAGGATGGGTATGTGGGAAAAGATGGTGAGATATCGACCTTTAATTTTGGAGCATTCAATCAAGGATTCGGTGTTAGGTATAATTCAGGTGACAAGAGTGACCATATCACGTATACCGATTCAGGGAGGCTACTTGGGGAAGAATGGGAGTTGGTTTAATCACTACCCTTGGGCAACTGATCAATCAGACAGTGATCAGTGCACTGTTGACAGCCAATATGTAGACATTTTTCTCTTCTGGAATGTGGGGCGTATTGGAGCCTTCCTTACATGTTTTATTACCTTAATTGATCTGTGGCTTTAACTTGGCCGGCTCTTCAACTTATTTAAAAGCTCCGTTGCATGCGGTGTCATTGATTCACTTTGATTGGAATTTGGTATGGTAGGGTAGTAAGAGACCTCACAATCCTAAGAGTAGGCTAGCTGAGAGAATGTGAGTATTGAAGATTGCATAGAGAAGGCAGGACAGCAAGCAGCAGTAGGTGTTGTAATTTAGTATAGTAAGATGAGTACAATAGATCAAAACAAAGAAGCAATTACAAGGTGGAAACATGCAGGTGAAGCCCTAGAACCCTAAAAAGGAAGACAAGTCAGTCCAAATAACTAAGGCAAGCAGGGGATGAGTGAGAGGAGCGCATGGCAATAAGCTCTCTATATAGGAACACAAACTTCTTGTACAGACGCACGTGCAGGCGTGTTTACTATTATCCCTTTCTCTCACTATGTTGGATTGATATTGACACGGCTCATAGTCAAGACTAACAGGAGGGTTCTATTTAGTGAATTACTTAGGCATGATGCCCTAGTACTTTCTGGCTTCCTTACATGTAAGGCCTTTATTATTATTATATTACTTAATATATCATAGCAGAACAAGTAAACAGATAAATTAAGGAAGTGATGAACAAAGGGAAGAAGATGGAGAATAGGTAAAACACCCGGAGCTCTAGGAGGGGAGAGACAGGGCGAGCCACTGTCCTTCAAATGTGGAGGGAAGAGAGAAGATGGTCTTGGGAAATGTTAGGCTGATGAGTATACAGTTTTGTTTGTCCTAGATGGAAGGATATTGCATGAATATGGATATTCCCCACTCCTGTGAGCCTATGGTTTCTCATCTGAGCATTACATAACATCTCTGAAGCCGAACCGGAGCAGCGTTAGTCCCCAAAAAATACAATTCAGAGGTCTTCCCAAAGTCAGAAACTACAGTCTCCAAAGGAACGGATCTGATGTCCGATAATAATCGAGCTTTCTGAGCAATATGATGGTTACTGTTAGTGTGCGCACTAACTAGGTAAGTGTAGAAGTTCTAGTGGTGGCCATGATTGAAACAGTGCACTGAACAAATCGTATTGTCATCCTGGCATCTCATATAATCTATTCGACCCTGTATCTTTCCTTCCCTGTGACAACTCTTGACCAGGCAACTCCACTGGCATTCCTGAAGTTTCTGTTGGATTTGGCTCTCCTTGTGCCGGAATGTATTTCCTCCGTCGACGGCGTGTAAAAAACACCGCCAGCAAAACCAGCAGAATCACAGCCGCACCCCCAACACCGACCCCGACCCCGATCCCCAGAGTCTTCGAATTCGACGAGTCGGTCCTCCCATCGGTTGGCGTGGACGTGGCAGATGTACTCGCAGAGGCAGTCAGTGTCGCCGCCGTGCCGGTCCCTGTCAACAAAGCATTTGTTGATGTACTAGTCATAAGCACATTGGATTTGTCTCTGACGTAGAAGAACGGGCTCCAGGCTAGCCAGCCGTACAGGCCGTTTCCGCCTGTGCCGAGCTTGGCTGACGCATCGAACAAGCCGAACTGGTACTGGGGGTTGGTTGTGTTGAAATTCGTGGGGATGGTCCAAGTGTATTGCTCAAGGGTGCAGTTGGCGGTTTTGTTCGTAACGAGGCGGTAGAGGTTGCTAGACGTGTTGAAGACAGCGCCGACTGAGTCAAATCTGTGTCAGACAGAGACATACGATATTGTTAGATGAATGCGACGTGGACAACGCACCCGCAATCTGAGAAAGCAACGCGCCCCCTTGCCGTGCCAGAGAGATATTCAGAGACTTCGTTCCGCCGTCGATTGCGCCCCATTGTAAATCAAACGTATCGCCAGGGTGAAAAGTGTTGTTCTGATTGTTAGTAAAACCGTAGAAGGTCCCAGCGACGCAGTTCTCATATCCGTTGGTGGACATAATGACCTACGCGGTGAAAGTCAAGAGGCAGGATGACGACGAAAAAGTTCAAGAGTCGTACCAAGTGCATGACAGTTGAATGAACACACGACCCTAAAAAGACAAAAGCTGTCAGCAAAGAGCCTCGCGCCTCAACCAATAATTACCGGACGTTGGATTCGAGCTGATAATGCACCAGGGGGCTATGTGAGCCACCAACAGCAAAGAGAAACGCATGGTCCAATGGGATTGGTTGAATTCCAGACGCAAGCCTCCCATTAGCAAAGACGTTAGTAGGAAGAGAGCAACGTGAGACGGTGAGTGCAGGGACTAAACGGTAGTTTTCCGGTTTGTAACGGAATATTAAACCACTCAGCCACTATTGCTGCTGATTAGTCTTGGGTGATCGCAATTTAGTTGTAAAGAATTGTTCCCCTGATTGAATTTCGATTTGCATTACCATTTTCATGGAAGAATACGTAGAAGAGAAGGAGAGCCTACTTATAGTTTTGTTCGGCTAGAGCAAGTTCGTGACTGACTATCAAAACTGTTTAGGCTGTTTCTGCCTCAGAGCAAAAATTACGGAGCACTCAAAAACTGGTCGAATATCCGACCATCTTTGGCAGCTGACAATTTCTACCCTGGTAAGGATGTATGCAGTACGGTCCCACTGCTAGCATTCGAGCCCTGCAAAGCAGTGTGGCTCCCAAAGAACCGCCTTACAGCGGACTATTTGCAGAAACTGGCTAGCATGAAATTTTTCTGTTATTACCGATTATTACATTCCACTACTTAGGTCCTTACTATGGTCGCATGCTCTGCGCTATCCTTAGTATAGCTATTAAAATATCTTACTTCAGCCCTGCCCTGTAATTATTTTCTTCTTACATCTCAGCAAAGCAGTAAGCAGAACCAAAGACCTTTGATTTTTAATCACATTCTGGATGGCGTATCTGGGTAAGCACATTGTAACAACATTAACAATATGTCACTCTTAAGTAGTACTTAGATATCCATACTCTTCTGTACCATACCCAAGGTATCTAGGAATGAGATTTCATGGCTGAGAAATCCAGGTTCAGAACAGGAAAAGAATATATTTCCACGGCAAGCGGAGGAGTCGTCAATCGCCCTCTAGATAACGGAGAATTTTGTCGAACGCTCACATACTAGGAACGTCGATATCATGAAACTAAGGATATTTGGACATTCTCCACTCCTGTGAGCTTAAGATAAGATATAGATAAAACCTTCACTAGAGTTTGGTTTTCAGTTGATCTAAGGTCTTCTATTTTGGCAAATTATTGAATTCAATACGGTGTCCATGTCCAAATATTTATTGTCTCTATAAGTATCGATTTCCTCCATCAGGCAATGAAACTAAACAGATGCCTGGAAATTCCTTTCTAGGATATGTGTCATAGATGCGGGACATGAAAATTGACAAGATTAACAAGGCCACCTTCATCGTTACGCGGAGGGAAACGGAGAACATGTGTTCTCTGCCCAACAGGGCAATAGTCCATATGTGGTCGGTGAACTCTTGGTTATTGAGGTCTTCCATGAGGGCATCAAGAAATTTACGGAGCGCGAAGTTGGCGAGGAAGATACTATACAAGGCGATCGCAATGGCGATGGCATGCCCATAGAACCTCGACAGCTTCTGGGGGCTTTTGCTTCCGTAACGAACCCCAAAGCTTGAGAGACAGCATAGCATCATGGATTGGCAATGACCAAGTGACCTCCGTCTTCATGGGATTGAAACTCTATCAACAACTCACGGGCTAGCTCCTCCATGGAACCTTGACTTTCGTGAACGTTCCCGCCACGGGGTCGCTCCTTAAGCCCATGAAAGAAATATGCCAGAACGTTGTTAGTCCACGGGACTAAACCAGCTTTCCTCGTTTCCACCATGACCGTTATTAAGAAGACAAGGCTAGCAACGAGCTCAAATAGCGGCATAACCAGCCATTGCCATGCCACGACTGCACGGCTGGTAGCAGAAAAGGCTTTGCCATGAATAGATGGCTGATATTGTATCTCTCGAAGGCTGAGAGACAAACTATTTGCCAGGTTGTCCATAAGATCTGGAAAGCCTGTTGTCGAACGGTTCATTGCCATGTAGAACGCTTGGATGAGGTCTGAAGAGTAGGCGGGAGTTTTGAGGTAGCTACTACCGGTGGCCATCGTGGCGTTGCCAACCAGCAGCTGGGAAAGCCAATATGTCGTTCTTTCAATTGCGCCGCCAGTAGCAATAAAAACAGACGGGGACGTAGGCGATCGAAGGATGACGTCGCGATTGTTGCCCGAATTTGGCAGAGACTGAGTTTGGTCAGTCCAATTTGAAATCTCTGTTTCATATAATGTGCCGTTGATATATTCCGCACGCATATTGCGAATACAAAATTGGAGCAGGCACTCAAAAGCGACAGGTGAGGCGAAGGGCCCGGTCATAAAGTTGGATGTTTGGGTTGGTATCGTGCCTGGGGATGCGCCAACTGCAAACACACTCAATAGCGTCGAGCCGTTATGGGTAAATGCGACGGAGTCCCAATCTCCGGATACGCTACCGCGGCTTTTAGGTGCCGACGTTGTTGTGATATTCAGCATCGCATTGGTGGTTACGAAAGCGACCTGGTTGATCATCTCCCCTGGCTGTACCCCAGTGAGACCAAACCCGTTTGGAAGCGTGTAGTAGTTGGTGTCGTAGGCAGTCTTCGCATCGTTGTTAGGGTCAAAATGTACCTTGGTCGTCTTAAGTGTAGCAGTCAAGTCTTGGCAAGTGTTACAAATGCCTAATGTCTGATATGATTCCCAAGTACAATTACCGGTACCGCAGTGTGCTGTGGTCGGAAAATTGGTATGGGGAGGGCTAAATAGTGCAACGTACGGGGCCGCTAGCAACTGAGTATCGACGCCAAAGGTGGCAGCACCTCCACGTCCAATGGGTGCGAAGCCTGAGCCATTCATATACTGCGCTATTTGCATCAAAGCGTCGTCGGAATGAGGATAAGTGGTTTCATATCTCAAGGCCTGTTGGAAAAAAGTGCTGATACCCAGAGCTATTATGGTAAGAATAGCCCCAAATGAAGCAATGAGCCTGGTGAAGAGTCAGCAGGGGCAGAAAAATCATTTGTTTCTATGAACACAGGGTCCCGGCAATCGAGCTAACGAATGAAAGGGTTTGACAAACGGACGCACCCTCCCTTTCGACGCGCTAGAAGTAAGACGCTCCCCCATGGTCCCCGGCTAGCGTCATCGATGGTACGAAAATCGTCCATGGGTTTTGTTCGAAGTGCTTGCAGCCATTTGGTCTGCCCAATCGCAGAGCTCACGGGCACTATTAAAAGGGCTTCGGCAAATGTGGCCAACGTTCCGATGATTGCGTTGGGTTTAAGGCCGAACTGTAAATCCGGAAGCGGACGGCCATCTAGAACCCCTAACACGACAGCAGTAGCGATGAAGAAACAAAGACTGCCAATCCAGCTAAGTATTTCAATTTTCCACGGTATCGAGCCCTGTCGTAATTGCGAGCGTTTTTCTAGCGCTGTTTTGTCCGGACGGTTCGAAGGCGAGCCTGACTGCTCGGAAAGTGGACTTTCAGAAACAGAAAGCAGAGATTGGTGATCACCCACCGAACCTCTGCGATCTTCGAGTTCACATGCAGCAGTTTGCATCTCCGATAGCTCTTGCCGGAGTGGCAAGGCGGGTCAAGACACTTGGCACACACGTTGGGGATAAGAAACCAAGAAGCATGACATTTATGAAGAGGCAAAGTGAATGAGTCTGTTAAATCCAAAGTCGCTTTTGGCCCCCAAGGCGAGATTCACGGCTGCGTGGTCTAAGCCCCTAAGACCCTGGTCAGTTACCCACACCATTTTAGCTTAGTTGTGCCGCCTTTCAGCTCCAACCGCGTCAGCTAATGAGAGTTTTTCCGTGGGTCCCTTTCCTATTTTAGAGAGCTACCACACCCTTAGTGGATGCGGCCTCAGAGAGCCTCTGCCATTTACAGAAATGACAGAGAAATGTCCTGGACCCCATGATTATCGGACTGAAAGTAACTGACCCCCTCGAAACGGCTAGTGTTACTGCTTTCCTTTTTCACTATTTTGCCGTTAGTCTCAACTGGAAGCCAGAAGATACCGAAGAAGCTGCTATTTCGTCGAGCTTGGTGGAATCGGAGTTCCACGTCAACGTTCGCTGCGGTATTCTGTCTTTTGCTTGCTTGTCAATCATTTAGCACCAGGGTCACTGTGTGAGATCCACTTGCCGACCCAAGTACGATTCCATGTAGATTGATGGAATATTCTAACCCGTCGATGCTACCGCATAACCTTTATAACCATAATCAAAATCATAATGTTAGAGTTATATACGATAGAGGTGCTCTATAGACCACTATTACCCTAGAGCCTGAAAATAGTATTAATATATAAGCTGGGTGTAAATGTTCTAAGATCTTAATTTTAAGCATCATCCACCTAGTCAAGTTTTTTCTTCTTGTGTTAACTTCAGATTGTCGGGGATATAGAATATTATAACAGGTTTTAATGAAATTGGTAGTGGCAATAGATGGCTAATAAGATGTATGCTGTTCCATATCCAGCACTGCAACAACCCAGGCGTTCCCGTGCACTCCGCTACAGACTAGATTACTCATAATGTTTTGGAGAGGTATTTGGCATTTGACGCATTCCTCCAATGACCTTCCTCTCACTCTTGAGCATCTTGTGTGTCTCCAGCCAGGCCAGCATAAGGTGGCTTCAGTTATGTTTCAGGTAAGATATGCAAACGAAGCGTGAGTGATTCTATTGATAGTTTGCAGATCCTTAATGGTTTACACCACCTGGTCGAGCCTGGATTTCAGCACCCGTGTTTAACGTCCACGAATGCTCTCCTAGGCTCAGATGGAATAGTTAAGCTTGGTAGGACTTTGCATCCTTAATCCACATTGGTTGTGCTAAACAACCTACAGCTGCATTGGAGCACTGGTTAAGCCGTTCTGGGACAGTCCCAAGCTCCAGTGATTAATTCCATGGCCATCATGATGCAGCTCTATGATCTGCCGCCAGAAAAGTGTTGGAATAGGAAACAAGGGCACATCAGGGCTCTAACGATCATTCAAATGTGCAAGTGATCGGCAATGTGAAAGGTGGCATTCATGCGCAGTCTCAGGTTTTGGTGTGCAGTGAAAGCCGTAGGGTCTATGTATTGATCAGAAAATCAGAGTTATATTTGGTTGCCCTCTCTGATTAGCTGTGCATTGTACATATATACATTGTCACTTGTAAATGATAACGCTCCCAGTCAAATAGTGGACTGCCATTCAGATTTCTTCGACGATCTAGCCATGCGTGACTCATGTGCTAGTGCTCCAAGTAATCGCCACCGGCCCCATCAAACCATACTTCTGATACGGCGTACTAGCATACAGCGGCTGTAGCTCTCCCGCTATTGACCCAGCGATCTTAGTTTGGTTTGCATCTGTCTTGATCCGATTGAATAATGGAGTTGTCACTTCCACTATAATTTTATATATCTGACCGGGACTGATGTACGGGGATATGTCAATGACTGGGTTGACTGGGTCAATTGGAGGTAGCCTTTGTCCTCCAATATAAACGCGGACAGTGTGAATGATCGGACCTAGCGATAGCTTGCCCTGTATGCGAGGGACATTCGGTACAGTGAAGCTCGTCGAGTATCGACCGATGCCTCCCACGCTGGTCAAAGCAGGAGAGATAGCGCTCCATGGTCCGAGGGCGATGTTGGAGAAGTTGTGCGATGTGATGGCTGTTTGGACATGAGAACGTGGGCGTGGAGCGTGAAAGTCTTCGACCGACAGGTCCCAACGTGTCAGGTTCACTATGCTGTATCGCCTTGATGCACTGCTGCTTGCGAGCATGGTCAAGTTTGTTTGATCACTACTGCCGCTCTTCTCGAGACTTAGAATGCTCGTCTCATTTGGCGCGAACTGTAGAGAAACCGTGATCACTGCGGACCTTCTCTCGAATGAGCCGATCACCTTTTTCTCCCCAGTCCAAGCATTGAGAAGGTGCGGCGTTCTCGCTCCATTGTCTCGGATGCTGATTTGGCATGAGGTGGAGACGATCTGATCGTTATACAGAAAGACATAATCTACCTCGTCTTCGGGCCTGGACCGCTTCACCACGCGCATTGTACCGGTAGTACAGTTTGGCAAAACATTTGGCGTGACTCCTACCTTTCTCAGGGCACCCGGGAGATCTGCAAGCGAGGAGATAAACTGGACGGATGGCAAGTTTCGTATCTTACGCCACCCGTCCTCCACAATTTGACCGACCTGAGTATTTGATGTCACCTGCGGTAGGCCACCGACAAATACCACGGGTAGCCCCCTTTGAGCAAACTCCACCACTCGTGCCGCCACATCTTCCCGAACAAGATTGAAGGTAGATATGTTAAATGTGGACGAGGCAAAAACTAGGGCCTTATAACTTGGTCCGTCCGGAGCAAGGACGTTTGCTCGAACAGTGACCTGCGGTGGAACAAGGTTATCGGGGGCAACGTAATCGTGAGTGTAGCCTGTCAATCAATGTCAGCTCCATCTTGGAACTAATCAATGGGAGCCTACCAGCAGCAGTTATATCGTTCGAAGGAAGCAGGTCTATGACACTCCAAGGAGTCTCGTACAGATACAGCGCCAAATCGACCTGTGGACGGCCCTGCTGCAATACAAACTGATTCCGCGCGATATAATCCAGGTAGTCCTTCATATGAATCCAAGCAGGTTGGATTTGATTCCACATCTCGGTGAACCTAAAGCCGAAGGTCGTATACCCAGGCCATGTCGTATTGGGATAATTGCCAGAGTAGGTGTACCCGTGCAGGACGACCATGTTGACACCCCCGGACCAAGCTCGTTTGATGGAATATAGAAGCTCTGGTATCGTGAGCATATAGGCCGGCTTGTTCACTGCCCCCATTTCATTCGAGACGACATTACGATTACTGATATGAGCGGGCCCACTGAATTGGCGATATGCATCGACGTTATCACTAAAGCCTAGCGACTCGCATTCTGGCGCATCGGAGAGAGGGATATCACCCAGCTGAACGGGTCAGAGCTATCTCAGTGTGAGTAAAGGAGGAGACGTACCATTTCAAGTGGCAGGTTATACGCTGGCTGATTCGAATACTGGATCCCGATTCTGCGTGTCCACTGACTGAAATGGGCAATATAGTCCTGATACCCGGCATTCAGTGTCCGACGATAATCCGCATTACACGCACTGTCTTTCTGATTTCCAAGCGTGTACATCTCATTGTACGATGGCACAATCCCATTCCAGTTATTCTGCTGCTTGAAAAGAGCTGGAAGGCATGGAAGAGCGCTGTACCCTCGGTCCTGCTCAAACCTGGTCAATAGACTCGGTGTCCAGTACAACGACGAGAGCATCTCCATACTGTCCTCCCACGCTGCAGAGTCATCAGTGGCGTTCTCATGAAGAACAAAGGAGCTCACCGTACCATACTGTCCCGCTTCCTGCAGAAAAGTCAAGGTTTGTTCGTCACTCAAAATATGCTGATCCCAAAAATCGGTGATCAATCGCGCTCCCCTGGCATCAAAATGGTCGACAATCCAAGAACCATTAGCAATAACAGTTGTCGCATCGCGACCACCTGTGCAGCTGCGTTGGTTGGTATGCTTGACCCAGAAGCTGAAGACACGCCAAGTTGAATTGCCCAACGGTGCTGTCCAGTCTAGTAGACCATCCTTCACCTTGGAAGACAGATCAACAAACGAGAGCGGGTCCAGCGCTATGATTTTGGTACCGCCGCTTGAAGAGACTGCACGGAGTTAGATAACGAGAGAATATTCATCTACATGGTGTTTACCGTTAAGCACTCGGTACGCAATGACAGCAGTCAGGTTAGGCGTGCCGAAATCCTCTAGAGGATGCATAAATGACAAGCCTGATTGCATCACAGGTAACAATTCAGCTGGCGGCGGAACGTTGGAAGAATAATGTTGACCAGCGTTGACAGATGTGTTTCCCAGCAGCTTGACTTTGCCGTTATTATGTGATCCATCCTTGTAATGAAAGAAATACTTACTAGTTGGACTGCTAACCCCGGTGTTCCTGGAACCGCAGGGACACCCTGTCCTTGGTTTGCGCCTACCGCGAAGTCCATACGGACCTTACTTTCCTTGGAGCCATTCAGAGCAGCCTGGAACAGATCGTTGAAAGCAGGTGTGCCGAACCCATATACATTCCAGTCTGTGGGCGTTGTAGCGTTCATGCCCTGTGCTGTCGGAAGGCCATACAAGTAGAAGGGCAACAGTTCGATGCCACCGCCCCCAGCTTCAGCGATACGGGCGATATCCTCTTGGACGACCTCGGCAGGGACACTTGCATCAGGTAGCCTTCCTCTTGTCAGTACTGCACATTCCGAGGGTAGTGAAAAACACACCAATAGCGGAACTTGGGACGGTAAAAGACATCCGGATTAACAAAGCCAGAGTCGACGCCGGAGGCAGATACTGCTTTGGTTGCAAGAAGCGTATACAACGCTACCACGCCGCTTTGTGCGATATGTAAGGCTCTCATGTTTGTTTAGTCTCAGTTCTTGAGGACTGGATTCACAAGAAGACCATCTTCAATCTCAATCTGGGCTCCGTCTTTCGTGGTTTAAAGAGCTCCATGTTGTTTATGGTTGCAAGTGAGTGTAACCCCTCTTATCTCGGCATTAATTATCACGAAGTGCGGGCGGTTTCTGGGATCGACAGCCGGACTTCTTGAATGAAATTGCGGGGAGGCTGCGAGTTTACAGTGTAGTGGAGTCATTTTATGATCATCACACGAGGTAGCAGCCAGTAGGGGATTCTGCCCCCGCACATCCCTAAGCCAAGTCTTTTTCAGGCTTCATTCACTAGTAGCCATCACAGCTGATCACTCCCTAGCCTATGACCGAATCATGGCTCAGATCATGCATCTGAACAAGCTTGCTTTTCAATATCCCAGCATGATGAAAGTTAACATGTACAAAGTAGTGATTCACTACTTGATCACTTAGATGAAGTTTTCTGTTCGAATGTGACGCTATATCCCCTGTGGCTTAGCTCTGTCTATTCATTATCATAGTCCACTTTTATGGACATCAAGCAAAGAAGAATGATTTGACCCTGTGAGGTCATGTGTCAGTCCATTTCTTAAAAGTTCTTTCTCCTGTGTCTCTCAAAGAGTTAGTATGGTCGAGTTTGATTATTTTTGTTATGATCAACACTATTAACGATCCAAGCTAAGTGACCCTTGGCTTGTCTTCCTCCTCCCCATGTAGGTATTTAACTTATATTAACCTCAGAGACATATGAATCCCTTATCTGGTATTCGGTCACTTCTTGATAAGGATGCCGATCTCTTATGTGGAGTCTCCTGGCATTGCTAACTTCTTCTCAAGGGATATTCCTGTATTCCCAGACGCATCCAGATCTCCTAATAACTAACTATTGAGCTTTTGCAAAGCGTGTCTGATTGATTGAGAGCTACTCATCCCTGACTCAAATGGAGGCTTTGATTAACTGGAACGTGGTTAATGGGCTTTCATTCCTCAGAGCAAATTATCATAAAAATAATAGTAGTAATAAAGAAGAATCCACATTTCCTAGTAAGTTCCTAGTGATAGAAAAAGTTGCCATTTGTTTCTCACTTCAGACTGTATAGGGATGATGCTCCGTCCAAATCACATGCATGGTATTAAACCCTGCATGGACTAGGATAGCATAGGTAAGTATAATCCTACTGTGGAAATTTAATGAATAGCGCATGATAGACTAGGATCGCAATGATAGCTGGGCTTGAACTGAATAATCACCAAGTACCGTACCTTGCAGACTGCCTGATTTCTCCCCACTTTTGTGCACGAGTGATTGCAGTTTCCCGCCCATGACACCTTGCAAGTAACCACGGAGTCACACACTCCTGTAGAAATAGCCTCATAATATCCTCTGTGCCCACTTTTATATTATCTGTCGAAGGCACTGCCTCTCCTACCCCTCCTTTGCCATCTCTCTGTGGTGGTGTACACGCTAGAGAAGGGCGCTAAAAGCACTATCCTTGTTCTGTCCAGGTCCATTCCTCATCTTCCACCAACTGGTCAACCTTTCAAAATTATCTGTCGCTCCCTACCTGTTAACGTTGCCTTTCTCGACCTCCAAAACGCCAAGAGGCACACCATCAGCTGACGCGTCCCACTGAAAAAGTCCCGTCGCTAGCACAACGCAGCATGGCCGCGTTCCACCATTTCCCTCATCTCCCCTTCGAGCTTCGAGCTCAAATCTGGGAGTTGACAGTCGAGCCGCGCACAGTTGAGGTCCGCGTTAAGAGAGAGCATGGGTCATGGGGCAAGGTTTTGCATGTAACCTCACCAACGCCAGTACCTGCAGTCCTTCAGGCCTGCCATGAAGCCCGAAACCAGGGGCTGTACCAGCAGGCCTTCAGTTCCTCAGGGGTTGAGCCGCGTTATGTCTGGGTCAACTTTGAGATTGATATGATCTCAATTGGGCATACTTGGTTTGATACATTTGAACCTGCTGAACAACTACTATTTCGCCGGCTTACCTTTGAGCGCGAGAATAGTGAATCCTATTTCCAATTTCAGTCCTATGAGCTACAAAAGTTTTCTAATCTGGAGGAAATTCATGTCATCTGTGAAGACGGTCTGCTGGCATGGCAAGATGCCTGGGAATGGTGTCCCTGGCCATGTCCAAAGAAGAATCTGAGGTTCATTGACAAGGAAACGGGGCAGATTGCGGTTGGCGAGGACCTGGATAGGCTGGCGGATGAATGGATGGCGTCTTTGCCTGATGTTTCCGAATGACAGTTCAAGCAAGCTCCTGTCTTCACGAAAATACTTATAATCATCACTCGCTACACACTAGCTTTCCCACAGCTGATTTTCCTCACTAGATTAGGTACATATGGCAACCTAAATACATAGCTTTCTCTCCTTTTCCGTATTCCGCATACTGTATCATTGGCTTCGACAGGATCAGCGGTCAGTCCCCTCACTGTCTTCGGCACGACCGCACCTGGTCTCCGGCCCCTTTATACGTCTCAAAACCGCATAGTGTTCACTAGCCGCTCTATCGTTTATATACCAGTCTGAAAGTCTCAGATGAGTCTGTCAACATCCTTGATGCCTTTAATCTTGGCCTCATTAGCAGTGGCATTCCAGTCGATTGTTTCCCATTTCGTTGTGGGCTTCGAAATGGGGTTGTCGCCCAATCCATCAACTTAATATCCATTCCGTTGGGCTTTCCCAAATTGGTTTTGGCGGCTTCGATGATATATGGACGTGATTCCCGCCCGAGCGATGTTGATTTTCTCTAGCCTGGCATCGAATCTATCCCACCGATGTTTGTTTGCGTTGGTGCCATGCGTCATTGACCACTTTGCCGAGCTTCAAAGAGTTGTTGTTAAAATCGCCGCCTGCGCGGGGACAGATACGTTATAGGAAATTAAGTAATTCAGTGTGTTCCACACTAATGAGATCCCAGTCGACTGGTCCACATTATTTACTGAGGGATGGACCATGTGGTTTGGTGAAGAGTGGCTTAGAAGTAGTAATTATATTACCTCCAGACTCCAGTCATAGTTTACAGCTATGTAGTCTTAGTTACTACTTTCGAATGCTTATATAACTAGTTAAAGATGTCTATGATTACTTCTAGGTGTTCTAGGCGCAAGGGGAGCTAAATATAAATATCATAGTAATAATCCATGTGCTTGACTAGCGCGGCATCTAACCCAAAGAACAATGCCACCTGACTGGTAACCGTGGACTGGAAATTCCCTTAGTAATCAACCTCTATTCCAGACTTGAACGGGGCCCGAAGCTAAAACTCCTCCGACCCGGCCAAACCCCGGACTAAATTCCGGACCCATTTAATTGGAACCCGTCATCAATCGACTCTGGTTTCTTTCCTCTGTCTAGCGCCACTCCTCACCTATATTAGAGACACTTCTTACCGGACATGTCCCTGGCCAAATCCGAAGGTCGTTTGATTTCTCATCACCGTAGCCGGACTGGATGTATCACTTGCAGGTAAGTCTTTGTTCCACTGATATTTCTTACGCCTTTTCCCAAAGCTGATGATTTTTAGGATTCGCCGGGTCAAATGCGATGAAAGCAAGCCATCCTGTAACCGTTGTGTCTCAACTGGCCGCAAGTGTGATGGCTACGTGATTCGCAAAGAACCATGTCCGATAGGATATATTGTGGTCGCTACCGGATCAGCGCGTCCTGAGTGTGAGCGAAAATCAAGACATTCGTTTCACGTATACTGTCACCTTTATGGCCCAGTGTTGTCTATATACGGCAGCAGCAAGTTTTGGAATGAAATAGTTCCTCAAGCTTGCAGTTGTTCAGCAAGTATCAAACACCTTTTAATCGCTACTTCGAACTTGTGTCAACAAGCCTCTATGCCGCAGGAGTGCAATATACCATTCCTGATCCATTACACGAAGGCTCTCCAAATATTGAGCTATGACTCACGTCCAGATGTTTCAATTGTCCTCATTGCTTGCGTTCTCCTCGTGATATGCGAGCAGCTCCGAAATCGAAAAACCGAAGCACAGCAGCACTTATTGGCTGGCCATAAAATCCTTGGCATGCAACCCCACGACCGAACATCTCCTGGCGGGAATAACGTTTTGAATGAAATTGCCTTGACTCTATCTCGGCTGAGCTCTCCAGGGCCTCTCCCAGATTTAAAAACTGTGCTAGGTGTCTAACGTCAGGACGATAACCCGTCCTTTTCTCACGATAAAGGAGATGCCGCACAGATAAGCAGAGAGCTTGAACCTCATTATGGATGATTGAGGGCACGCTCTGGTGCACACGACAACAGGATTGATCAATGTTCGAGGAATTCTTTGTATTCACAAGGAATATGTAAGTGCATCTGTACCTTTGCCTTTGGAAGAAAGCATGGCTTGAAGAGCCTCGACCTAACTGGCAAAAGGCGGTTTTTCGTCTAACCATCCCAGGGTTATGAGAAATGACAAATATCCGCCTTCACGAGCTGGGCCCCCAAGGTCCTGACTACCCAACTGCTTCACTTACCAAGGGAGGGTGTTATTGTTTTCAATCTTCTCTTTTGGATTTTGTGGATAAAATGAAGCAAAATCTTTTAGCAACGTTGAAAAACATGATGAACCACTCACAAGCCCTGAAACTTGATGGAAGTAGCATACATGTAATTTATTTTAAGGCTTGGGGCCACCTTTAATAATTCAATGTTTGTGTCTTCAATGTGACGTGCACATCGTTCTATCAGAGGTCGTGGGGTGACGGATTTCCACCATTGCTGGTTGTGACAGTCCAGTCCTTGGTTTTGATCCCGACCTTTCACCTGACACTGTGTGACCCTTATGCGAACCTATCTCCTACAATGTCTCGCACCGTCCCTACTTCGCTTTTCCTCCCTTCTCCATGCTAGAATTCTTGTATCTTAGCTGCCAGATAGTTGAATCCAGATATCTGTTTGAGCTTATTATACTGATAACTGCATACACTTTTCAGCAAGACATTATCACCTTATACAAACCCTCGGTGCTGAGGCAAAGAGGCATCGCTAAATCTTAAATTAACCGATCGCAAGATGCTTGTTCATAAATAATATTTGAAGTGCCCGTCGCCTTCGACTGCGAAACTTCTGACGGCGATACCGTTTTCCATGCAGGGGCACTTGAGACAGCGCAAGCGCCGGACATCTTCGCCCTCGCTTTTTCGCTCTTTCGAGAGTCCTCCACCCTCTCTTGTTTTKATAGATTCGATAGTTCAATACACTCTCTACGTCTGTTACTCTCTCTCCGTTCATGTACTCCGAATCTTCCTCTGTGTGCCCACAGCGTCTGTTTCCGCGGCGTTCAACTTCCTTGTAAACAGAAGAGATCAAGGGCGTTGTGTCTTGTCCCGCGCTGCTTCCTTCACCAATCAGTCCACCATTTAATTCCTTGTGGCCCAGCACCCAGGCCGACTGGAAGATAACTTGAATGATCCGTTGCACGGTATCTTTTCTCCACACACAAGGAACTTGCAAGCCAGAGGCCATTAAATTACGGACGAAAACATGCATAAATTATGCAGGTAAGCGCACTGCAGATACCATTTACTATCCATATTGTATTGTTGCGGATGTGTGGATCTCAAACTACGTCCAAATCCGCATATCCGCGCGGATTTGGATATGTCGCCCCAGTCTACTCGGGATACTTCATACCCGTGCCACAATGCGGTGGGTTTGTTTTGGGCCCACACTTAGCGAGCAGACCAATAAGACTAGTCCAGACAATTTCTAAGTCATAGTCTGAGTGGCCTGACGTTCTGCTATGGGTAACCCAGACCACCATCCTGAAGGGGTAGAGTAAAATAGTTAGCTAATCTTTAGTGCAGGAACACTTCAGAGTATTACTTATTCCTATTAAGTTTTAGTATAATCTCTGAGAAGATTTATAAGCACTATATATACAGAACTAGTAACTCTATACGGAGTATACTTAGTTATGCTTTTATGCTTCTCGCAGCCCACCGGAAGCAGGGATATGATTTTAGACCCACTCTTAGCGAACAGACCAATAAGACTAGTTCAGATAATTTCTAACTCACAGCCTTGACGTCTACCATTGGGTAACCCAGACCACCATCCTGAAGAGATACCTAGAGTAAAATAGTTAACCTCTTTAGTGCATGAACACTTCAGAATATTACTTATTTCTATTAAGTTCTAATATAATCTCTGAGGAGATTTATAAGCACTATATATATCAAACTAGTAACTCTATATACTTAGTTATGCTTCTTACGGCTCACCAGAAATAAGGATGTGGGTTTAGACCCACTCTTAGCGAGCAGACCAATAATACTCTACATAGCATTTGGTAGCCCAGACCACCATCCTTAAGAGACTGTGTGAAATAGTTAACCAGTCTTTTGTGCATGAACTTATTTCTGTTAAGTTATATATTTCTCTGAGAAGATTTATAAGCACTATATATATAAACTAGTAACTCTATATACTCAGTTATGCTTCTCACAGCTTGAACTTTGAAGTAAGGATATGGTTTTAGACCCACTCTTAGCGAACAAACCAATAAGACTCTACCATTGGGTAAACCAAACCACCATCATGACACTGTGAAATAGTTAACCAGTCTTTGGTGCATGAACACTTCAGAATATCACTTATTTCTGTTAAGTTTTAGATTTATAAGCATTAGGTATAAAAGGTGGAATCAGCGACTCTATTTATTCAGCTGTACTTCTCACAGTCACAGCCCACCAGAAGCACCTCTCTATAAGTTTTTCTCTCTTCTATATCTTGAACCCGTGAAGGTCATCGTTGATAACAAGATGTCGCTTAAGCCGCTGTCAGAGACAGTTGTCCTGATTACAGGCGCAAACCAAGGCCTTGGCTATGAATGTGTGAAGAAGCTCGCCGCGGAACAATCCAACTTTCGCATTCTCGTCGGATCCCGAGATCCTATAAAAGGCGAGGCAGCGGTAGCGCAGATACCAGCGACTGCCAGCAATACACGGGTTGAAGCTATCCAGCTCGACATCAATTCCGACGAGTCAATTGCTGCTGCTGTCAGTCTCGTTGAGTCCAAATATGGACGATTGGACGTTCTTTTCAACAATGCTGGTATCATGTTCGTGAGGGAACAAAGTGTTCGTGCCGAGTTCCGCAGTATTTTGGAAACCAACACTGTCAGCGCTGCCTGTGTTACGGAAGCCTTCATTCCCTTGCTCAGAAAGGCTGCGGTCCCTCGGCTACTCTTCATGTCTTCCGGCCTGGGGTCTATGACTCTAGCAACCCTTCCTTTTTCGCCATATTACGATTGTGATTTCAAAGCCTATTCAGCCTCCAAAGCTGGACTAAACATGATTGGCCTTCTGTATGCGAAAAAATATCGTGGCGAAGGTTTCAAGGTCAACCTCATCGACCCGGGTTTCCGAAAGACAAATTTGAACGGCTTCAACAACAGTGGTGGAGATCCCGCCGATGGTGCCGTGGAGGCATGCCGTCTCATTGCGGATGACTCGAAAGACGGCCAACATGGCACTTTCACAGCCACTGAAGGTCTCACACCGTGGTAATCATCTGTTGGCATTTTGTTCAAAGAAGACCATCTGAAAATCTGTCTTCTTGCTTGGCATCGAGGGGGTTAGTGTAGAGACATAGACAAGCCTAAATCATTGGCGGCAGTCTCAGTCTGCTGGCCCAAGGCCTCTACCTGCTACACTCTTCTCACTCCTTCCCCAAGGATCGTCTGCTATCATTATTGCCTGCTTCTCGATATCTGAATTTTCGCCCACTTAACTGGCTTACACGCACACTCTGTCTCTCTTTTATTCTGTGCCTCTTCTTCCTTTTGTCCCGTTTCTCTCCGCTCACAGTGCCCAGCGCCGCCAGCAAGGATGTCGCTGACCTCCTGGAGCTCCGCGCCTGGACCACAAAGAGTAGAGCCTGGTGACCACCACAATCCTTATGCTGCTGTATGTATTTAGGTTCATCTATTCTTTTTCATCTATTGATAAGTCTTCTACTCCTAGCATCCACTGACCAGCGATGTTAGCTAATTTTCATTAAGTAGCGTAAAGGGCCATCCCTAGTGGGCTCTGGTCTGCAGTTAAGTCAACCTCAACGGTCTCCCTTAGAGCTATAATAAAGATCGCATGAGTAACCTGGAAATGAGTAAAATCTGCAGATGTCACCACATCACCTTCATTGGCTAATGAGACAAAATCAAGTGCTCTCTGTACCATAGTTAGTCTACATTGGAAGGCCATTATTGCCCTCTGGCCTAGCCTCAGCCCTCAACCCATGATACCCTGTCTGACACTTTTCGTCAGAGCACGTGCGACCACACTTAGAATATTTAAGGTATATAAGGGTTAGTCTCTTATAGACTAAAAAAGACTTCTCTTATCTTCTTATTTTAAAGAATAGCTTATATAAATACTAGGGATTAATCTCTTATAGGTTAATTATATTCTATCTATCGGCTATCCTAAAGTATACTAACTTTAAGAAATATTTTAAGTAGTACTACTCTACTCTATATAGGGCTTTCTTATTTTTACTTTATTGCTACTAATAAAACTATTTTACCCAAGCTTGATAGGTCCTCAAACTTCTTATCAATCAATGATCAGTTCGTTCTCTCTCTACCGTCCACTACACTGCAATGATCGTTGCTCCGTACATAATAACAACTATGTAGCTGCCTGGTGTGCGTTATCAGATAATTGCCCATCCACGTGCTTCTAGATCGAATGGAAGGTGGCCAAGAAGGGAAGGTGACAAGGTCTCTACTAATAATAAGGATAATAATAATACTCCGTACCGATAATAAAAGCAGTTCGCCGGGGTCCTCCATACCCAATGAATCGCCTCCATTTACCGAGCTTCCCGCGGTGGATCGTTGGCGAATGTGAATGTTTTTCGACGCACGTGGTAAACGTTGCCAAGCTCCATTGGTCTCCGACGGGAAAAGCAACCAACCCCACATCTCAAAGATCTCCAGTCCCAAGTCCAAGCAAGTTTTAACCCCCTTCGAGTCTCCTCATTAATGTCGCTTGCGGAGATTGTGTCGTCCGAGCACCTCCCGGAAAAACCGGCGGCCTCAGAACTGCCCAGACACGAGGCTGCATTTCGACATCTCATTAGCTCCTTCAAGAGCGAAGCTTCGCACGGAGGCAAAACAAGCTTTTGCAATATCGTCCATCAATGACAGGAACCAGGAACCCGATGGTCCCCTGGGCCACCAGTGTCATGGCTGCATTCTCGAAGCCCGTCAAGGTGCTAGCCTGGTCCCCGGTTCCTTATATAAGGCCGAGCAACCGAAGAGATCAGCAGAGGCGAAGCACGCAACAGTCTATCCTTTGCCGTTTCCAACATGTCCACCATGTCTCGTGTTGCCCTGACTCTGGGCCTGGCCTTGGGTGCCTCTGCTGCCAAGAACTCCATCGTTGCGCCTACCGGTGCCGAGACCCTCACTGTCGCCCTCCTCGGTGGTAGGTGTTCATTCTCCGTGAATCATCAACAATCGTCGAAAAAGACTGACATTTCATAAGACTATGGCTGGACTGGCTGGCAGCCCCTGCCCCTGGACTTCTGCAACAATGTCATGCCTAAGCTGAAGGCGGACGGCGTGCAGATCCCTCGCGAGATCCAGAACGACTGCGACCCCGGTGACCGTCAGGCCATCGCCAATGCCACCATCGAAGAGGGTAAGCCTTGACCCTTGTATTGCCCCCTCACAAGGGAGAGGTCACACGAGTGGAGGGTTCATGCGCTGACACCTATCTACAGGAGCCACTGCTCGCTATATCGAGAATGTCTGTCTCCGGAAGAACTGCTCGGCCTTCATCTCTGTCGGCGACAACTTCTATGACAGCGGTGTCGACTTCACCCCGGAGGGTATCCAGCGCTTCTACGAGGGCTGGGCCAATATGTATGTCGGTGAGGCCTTCAACGGCAAGCCATGGTACCAGGCGCTGGGCAACCACGACGTCGTTGCTGGCAGCGCCGGCGTCGACTTCCAGACGCGCATTGCTCCGTTGATGGAGGACAGGTGGTACTTCGGTCACGACAACCTGCCCTACTACACCTACGACCTGACCGGCTCGAACTGGACCGCGACTTTCGTCGTGCTGGACTCCGACTGCTTCGTCAACGCATACCAGGCCGCCACCTCCGTCTACAACACCGACTACGTTATCTCCTGCCACAAGGAGACCCAGAAGCAGGTGGACTTCCTGCGCAAGTCCTTCGCCGAGTCCGACGCCACCTGGAAGATCCTGCAGATCCACCACGGCTACATCTCCTCCTCGAGCAACTACACCGAGCTGGCTCCCTTGATTGACATCGTCCGCGAGAACAACGGCGTCGTCGTCAACGGCCACGATCACTGCATGGCCCACTACCAGTACCAGGGTATGGACTTCGTTCTCACTGGTGGCGCTGGTTATGCCGAGGCCGGCGACTGCAACTACGGCGTTCCCCTCGGCCCCTACGCCAAGTGGCTCGGTGCCGACGCCAAGCAGGCCGCCAACGGTTTCGTCACTCTCGATATCAGCTACAACTCCCTGAAATTCGAGTACTACGCTCGTGACATGCTGCTGAATGGTGCCGACTACTACCCTGTCAAGAATGACCAGGCACCCTCCTACAGCTTCTCCGTTACCAAGCACGCTACCAAGGGTTCCAAGTAAACCCACGTGGCAAACCCTGGGCTTTTGTATATAAGGTTGAGTGTATGTGACGAGTCTTTCATTTCATTTCTTGTATGACCGACGGGCAAATCTGCATTCAAGCACATTAGATGTCAGTCTATGTATCAATCTTTCAATAGTATAAAAATAGTTTCTTTTCCACGCACCCACGCACACACACTCTCTCTGTCTCTCTCCCCCTCCCTTTTCAGGAAAACCAAAATAGGCATGGGCCTTGATGTGAATGCTTAGCCAGAAACGAAAGATAGAAAATAGGAAAGGGCATGTTGAATTTGGAACAGCATTCACCATCATATAGAATTAATACTTAACCAAGATACAACAGTGGGCAGCTAGCTATTCGAAGAATCATACCGTCATCCTTCGCTCAGGGTCATGTATACTTCATGTATACTCAGAGAAGATATGAGCCTATGCAGGATGTGGTCAATGCTAGGAGCGAGGGCGGCGAAAGGTGGGAGCGACCGCAGGGTTGCAAAATTACTTCACAGCAATGAGAACGTCATGGACCAAGGGCATGCTTTGGTATCTGAATCTGCCTGGGACGAGGGCGAAACTGCGGACAGTAAAGAGACTAAAAGTACACCTTCTCAACACAGTCATTTCCTTTTCGAAGACACAAAGGCCAAGGGAATTGATCGGACAATTGCAATAAGCAGCCAAGGGTTTCCTCGTGGTAATTTCCCTATCCTTAGTAACGAGTTTGAGGTTGACACAACAGGCAACGGAGGCGCGCATCCTCGCATGACAGGGTGTAAATCGTTAAATCGAAACTATTATACCCTTGAAGAAGCATGCACATATATTGCGAAGATGAGTGACCGATCCCAAGAAGATTATAAAGTGTGGAGCAGGAGAGACAACCCCTCTGAAGGGAGTTGGATTCTATGCGGTCGCCAATGGGACAAACCCTGGTATCCTTCCATTTTACCAGTAAGTATTACCGATAAGCCTGCCACTGAGTCCTTCATGGAAGCTAACAAACATTAGTGGAGAGGGAGGTGCTGAGGGTGAAGTTACAGATGAGAGCGGCGCTTGTCACAGGCGAATTAGAACGATGGACCAAACCAAGCCTTTTATTGAAGATTGGGAAGAACCGTACATATATGTCAATTGCACGATGAGGCATATGTTGGATGATAGAGGTTAAATATTCTGCAAGACAGAGGTGTGCTCTATCCAGTGTATGACTCCTCGTACAATATGGATGACTTTCCATTCGGAACTAAGTGATAAGCCCAGTAGCGGGATTGTTGGTGTAACGCTGGCAAATTTCAGGTCTTCTTATTTATGGGAAGGGAATTGTGATTAACTAAAAGTGCTGGGCGGCTGGAGTTGCGTGATGACTTCTGCATGAGATGCAGTATGTCACAATGTGATTATCTGGCTTTGCTGGCAAGGCTGAGTTGATCATGTCAAGGCTTGCCGCCGCAGAGTACAGGCCCACATATTAAGAATAAGATACCATTCCCATCAGGGGCGGGTTTTCGCTGTAATTATTTATCTACCCATCTAGGCGCACTCTCGACAGCACCTAGCCCACTCGTGGTTGTCGACTATTATTTTCTTATAATATATAGAATTATGATCGCAGAAGTGAGCTTCTCCAAGTAACCGAGGATGTCCCAAACTGCCCGAAAGTTCGCACATGGTGATTACACTGTCGGGTGGATATGTGCTTTGCCAGAGACCGAGTTCGTGGCCGCAGGGGCCATGCTGGATGAAGAACATCCAGTGCTTCCTGCCGTCCATTCGCAAGACACAAATTCGTACCTTCTTGGCAGGATTGGCGATCACAATGTAGTAATTGCTTGCTTGCCTGCAGAAACGACTGGCAAAGTGTCTGCTACGGCTGTTGCCAAAGATATGCTCCGCAGCTTCCCAGCGGTCCGATTTGGTCTGATGGTTGGCATTGGTGGTGGGGCTCCATATTACGGTACGCAGGGATCTGACCAGGAGGAGGAGGATTCTGAAGACGAATTGGAAGATATACGAGATATAAGACTTGGTGATGTTGTGGTAAGCCTGCATTCGAAATCAGCAGAAGCGGTTGTGCAGTATGACTTTGGCAAGTCACAGCAGGAAAAGGAGTTTGTCCATACCGGCGGCAAACTCAACAAGCCCCCGGCAATAGTTTTGAGCGCAGTTTCTGTGCTCCAGCAACAGCATAGACGGAAAGGCCAAACGATTTGCGAGCTGTTAGCGGACACACTCTCAAAGAATCCTGGCATGGCTCAAGAATTTCGGTATCCAGGTTCGGTGAAAGATCGGTTGTTCAAACCAGATGTAGTTCACTTGGAGGGAAGGAAGTCATGCAAGGCTTGCTGTGGACCCAACAGCATGAATCTTGTGAGAAGAACAGACCGGCGTGGAACTGCTCCCAAGATACATTATGGAACCATTGGATCAGCGGATCAAGTGATGAGGGACGCCATATTAAGAAATAAGTGGGCACAGAAGGAGAAAATCATTTGTTTTGAAATGGAGGCTGCCGGTAAGTTTTTCCCCATCCTGATAAACTTCTATATCTAACTCTTCAATCAGGATTAATGGACTCGTTTCCCTGCCTCGTCATTCGAGGTATCTGCGACTATGCCGATTCCCATAAAAATAAAATCTGGCAGCCATATGCTGCGGCAACGGCAGCATCATATGCTAAAGAACTTTTGCTCGTTATTCCTGGGCAAGGTGTCATGGATCTATCTCCGATTGAGCAATGTACGTAGCCTCAAGGAATTGATCTTGCTCAGCATGGGTATAGCAGAAATGCGCAGTTTCGGATGCTTGCTTATGATAAATTAGCTCTTGGCAAAATCGAAGCGAACGTCGACACGATGAGGTCTAAGTTAGCCAGAAAAGAAGATTATGACTTACTCAACTGGATCACCGCAGACGACTACGGTCCTTTGCAAAGCGACCATTTTCGGAGACGACAAGCTGGGACTGGCGAATGGCTTCTCAACTCAATGGAGTTTCAGAAGTGGCTCGAGACAAGCCAGGAAACTTTGTTCTGCCCTGGAATTCCAGGCGCTGGGAAGACAATCTTGACGTCAATTGTAATCGACCACCTGACTAGACGCATCTCCGAAGATCGGACTCTCGGCGTTGCATATGTTTACTGCAACTTCCAGCAGAAAGACGAACAGACGGTCGACAGATTACTCTCAAGTTTGCTGAAACAGTTATCTGAGAGACTACCGACCATTCCAGGAGAGGTGAGCGACCTTTATAAGCAGCATAAAAAGTACCGAACGCGGCCGTCACTAGAAGAAATCTCACGCACCCTCCATTCTGTGGCTATTAAGTACTCAAGAGTATTTATCCTCGTCGACGCGCTTGACGAATGCCGAGAATCAGAGAATTGCCGAATAAAATTCTTATCCGAGCTTTTCAGCCTCCAAGCTAGATGTGGGATCAATATTTTTGCAACTTCTCGGATGAATGGCGAGATTGAGAAGTCATTTACCAGCGCTATCTCCCTTGAAATCCGTGCGACAGACCACGACGTGGAGATATATCTCGATGAACGAATGCGACTCCAACAGTTGGATATCCTGGATGATGACACAAAAAAAGAAATCAAGCGAACAGTGGTTGATGCAACTGGTGGAATGTATGGCATATAACTGACCCCCAAAGCTGGTAAGGATTGTGCTAAAACCGAAACATCAGGTTCTTGCTCGCAAAGCTGCACATAAAATCTCTCATAACCTTGCCAACGAAGGGTCATATCAAGGATGCGTTACGGAACCTTGCTAAGGGAGAAGAGGCACTAGACAAAACTTACAGCCAGACGATGGAAAGGATTGACGACCATCCAAAGGAAAGACGAGATCTTGCCAAACAAATTTTGGGGTGGGTTTTTTACGGGAGAAGGCCACTTTCGATTTTAGAACTTCGATACGCCCTTGCTGTTAAGACCCAGTCTGCAAAAGTGGACAAAGACTACGTTCCGAGTACCAAACTCATACGGTCTCTATGCCTTGGGCTGGTCACAATCGATAAAGGAAGCGCTATTGTGCGGTTAGTCCACTACACGACGCAGGAATACTTTCGGCGAACGCAGAGCCGTTGGTTTCCAAGTGCAGAACTTGAAATCGTGCAAACCTGCATCACTATCCTATCATTCGATAAATTCAAGGGGTTCTGTTCAGATGATGCAGAGCTTCACGCACGAATACGGTTGAACCTTCTCTATCATTACTCTGCGCGACACTGGGGCCACCATGCTCGGGAAGCTTCAATTAGGGCAGAACAGATAATTTTAAGCCTTCTTAATGGTGCGGCCAAGGTATCCAGCCTAAATCAGGATAGGTCAGCGAACCGGACAAGTGCGCATATTGCGGCATATTTGGCCCAAAGGAACAAGGTGTTGGAGTTCCTTAATAGTGAGTCGAACATCTCTGGCTCAAGTCAGGCAATGCTGGTAAATGAAGGCTATGGCCAAGTCCCCAATCACAGTCAGGATGTGCTACGGCAAATGACAAGCATGCACCTTGCGACATATTTTGGTCTGAGCGACATTGTAGGAATTTTGATCAGGGACGGGCATGATCCAAACACCGGGGATTCTTATGAGCGGACACCACTATCCTGGGCGGCAGAAAACGGGCACAAGGAAGTCGTTTGTTTGCTTCTTGAGATGGCCGGAATCGACCCCGATGCCAAGGCAAAGTCAGGAAGAACACCGCTATCTTGGGCGGCGTGGGAAGGACATGCGGAGGTGGTAATGTTGTTACTCGAAAACCACAGCGTTGACCCTGACTCCAAAGACTCTGCCACCGGACAGGCACCGTTGTCGTTGGCAGCATGGAGAGGACATGGGATGGTAGTGTGGCTGCTGCTTGGAAACGATCGAGTCGAACCAGATTCCAGATCAGGGACTGGACAAACCCCGTTATCTTATGCTGCAGAGAAGGGACACGAGACGGTGGTACTACTATTACTCGCGAATGATCGCGTCGACCCAGACTCGAGATCTAACGTCGGACGAAC